TTTTCCACATGTTATTTGAAGAGGATAATAATTACTATTTGTAATAACATCTAACTAATTATAGAACATCATTTTTATAGAAAAAGTATACTATTTTCAAATGTAATTTATTTTTATATCTAAATTGCTCCTTATTTCAATTATTGCCTTCCCAGTGAACACTAAAATCAATAAAATAACATGTAGACAGAAATGTCGCCGCGATGATAATTCTTTAAATTATTCTATAATAATAATGAATAATATAAATCCAATCGAACATCATCTACGCTGGAAGTATTGATTTTTATCTATTTATTTATAAATCAATAAAAAAACGTCAACACTATAATTATAATATACTATTCAGGTTATCACAGATGCAATAATATGGGAGATTGAATGACAATCATCAATAATTTTAATAACACTTTCAAGTCAAAATTTGCATCTTTTGATATTCTGAGCAGACTGTACTTATTTGTCTATTATTCACTCATTCACTTTCAACTGTGAACAAAATTAAAGTATCTTTTATTGGAAATCTTTATGAAAAAATCTCGGTAGTTTTGCTTAAATTTTGATACAAAACTGACGTTTGCTCAACATAAATTATTGTAATATCGAAGTCACCATTTGATATTGTGCTGTTAGTGAAGTGAGTAAATTACTTAACAAACTCGTACAAAATTTTCTACTATTTAATTTAATATTTAACGTAGTCCGCGCGTCGTCCCGGGGCAATTGATCGCTGCAGCCTTCACGGGTTCTGATTCAACCTGCGTAAAACGGAACGGGTGAGCGAGACGACCAATCGAGCCGAATCGCCGCCCTCTTCTGTTTCCGGCTCACGTTTACGAAAAACTCTCGTCACTCAATGATATTCAAACGCGTCAAAAATAAACGTCACCAAATAGCAACATTCCGTTTTCTAAATTTAATTAAGTTTTTAATTTTAATTAATAATCCCGCAGCGAAACACAAACAGATGCACAATACTAGTCAGTAAAACTCCCTCCGTTCGATATATTTTTAAATATAAAATGTCCCTCACGTTGCAACATTCACGCAAAAAGGGTTGTGGATAGACAAAGCGAAATCGGTAATGATACTAGAGGTCGCGACCGTCGACATTCGTTAGTAGAAGCGTACGGTTAGAAAAAAAATGTCGTAACACGGGGGATGCACGAGGTTATTTGATCAAAACCAAAAATATTACATCCGTACACCTCTCAGTCGACGAGGTTCACACAAATCGAGTACTTACATAGAATCTCCGTTTCGCGTAAGTATAATTTAAAAGCACTACGGACAACACTCAAAGCATTTAGGCATTGCACTCGTTTTGCCTTGGCTCAAATCATCAGGTAGCGAAATAAACAAAAGAATTAAAATAAATATAGCATTGTAATAATCATTCAAAGAAAAAGGGGAATACAACATGCTCCGACTACTCGTACTGCAGCGGCCGGGGTTTTGATGGTGGATAAAAACTCAAGCAGTGTCCTTCATAGATATTTTTAATTCGTTATTCGATCAAAATACTATAGCAGGAGTCTATGAACGGACACTAGGTCATTGGAGGTAAGAGCGCGCGGTTTTATCATATGTTTAGGTAATATATATTAAGGATAAACAAATGATCGTGTGCGTACTTATAACTATAAAATAATGGCAGAGATATAGGGAGGTTTTAGCATCGTGCATCCCCTGTATTGTCGCGTGATTTAAAACAAAAAATAAATGACAAAACGAAAATTAAAATAATAAAAAATTATAATATATCAAAGTATACATCGACATCACGGAGCTCGGAAGCCGTTCGAGGGAGACAATTTTAGCATCAGAAATTTCACGATGTAATTATTGGTAATATAAAACACACAAATGATCAACAAGGCGATACATTATGGGTTAATCGGTGACAAGTTAAAACAACAGTGTGTATTACGGATGGTGTAATAAATTATTTACAAAAATTTTAAAAGAAAAAACAGAGGAATCTCTTTGTGAACAGAAAACGAGCCCTTTTGACAAAGTTTTGCGCAGTACCTATTTCATTAGTTTCTTAAAAGCAAACACCGGAATCACTAGTCACACTATTATACCCCAAATATCGTGTAAAATCACAAGGAAAACTAAATAATTAAACGTACAAATAAAGAAAAGTAGTAGAATGGAGAAAGAAAGCGCTACAAATAAAACTACAAAGAGATCATAAACGCTTTTCTCGCCGATTGTACAAATAAAAAAAACACCGGAGAAAAACATTTTAATTTCGCGAGACGAAAGTATGAAGATACATGCATTAAAAACACTGTCAATCGGTGCTCAAAATGTTCTATATTGATGTTTAACAACTATAAACTTTAAGTCCTTTTCCACAACCCTTTTTATATTTCATAAATATGTAACAGTCAAATCATATAATATAAATCAGGCCTATATCTCGGCGTCGATATAATATGAAGATTATAGTATGGCGTAGAAATATGTGATGATAGACAGAGGTGCATGACAAGCTGTGCATAGCTAACATTGATAAAAATGGCGGTGAATGATTTTTCTAGCAAAGTTAATTAATATGCAAGGACTTTTGTACGCTACTGTACTTCCTCCAAATAATATTTGAAAGACCTTTTAATTACCAACCCAAACAAACCTTCAATGATAAGATTTTTTTAAGACTACGATATTACTATCTCTTTCATTCTTCACAAGAACAAATGAGATAGCATATATTTCACAAATGAAAAGCAGTAGAAAACAATGTCCATTCGCGTTTTAATTCTACGACATAGCTGGAAGCTTAGCTCATGTGACATACAATATGTAAGAAAACAATTAAAATATTAGTGAAATTATATGATCAGGAATTTAATAAGGGTTAATGTGAGAAAAGTGGATCTTTTTGTTAGTAATGTTGGTTATGGTACATAACAGTGATTAGTGAATGGTTAATAAATCATAATGCCTGGATTAGTATATTTAATCCTAATTAAAATGGTTCATGTCATATGTGTAGTGATATTGTAAGATCAAGTTTGAAACACCCTTGACACGTTGAATTGTTGTGATAAATCGTTATTATTATTTTGCAATGTGACAGCAGAGATATAGATAGTAATAACTTAAAATATAAACATGAACATAATATCAAAGGTATTTGAATCAGAATAAAGTGAATCAATGATTCCTGTACTGGTATCACTCAAGAGTTAGATTTTAGCCCAGCAATTTCATTTTGATGAAAAGTGTTTGTTTTGGTATGAGTATCATTTCCCATTCTATTATAAAATCATCTATTTCAAATCAGAACTAATAAAAAATAAATAAAAAGGTGAGTAAATATTTGTATTTCATTTTATATTCAATAGGTACTTATGACCATTAATATCCTATAAAATTAATGAATTTACGATGTTAAATTAATAAATTTACTTTTGCCGCTCATTCAACTAGCGTTGCCCACAAAAATCACTTGTGATCGACAAAGTGTCATTGGTAGTTTGCATTTAGAAATGTAGTACTTGATATGTCATGCATTGAGTATCATCTCATGACGAATGGTAGTGTGTATGTACTATTTAGTATCAACGAATAAGAAATGATATGGAAGCATTACTCACTAACAGAGGTCGGTAAAACATGGTTTCAAACACATACAATGAAACTTCAATACTAACACGTCACGAACACAGACAAAACAAAATAATTTGATCAATCAAATATCTGCAAATGAATTCGGCTATCCATTCATTTGGTAAAATAATTAAACGGAAATCTCAACCGATCTAATGATAGGCGTCTTTATCGCATATTTTCGCCCCGCCCACTTGATCGCATTTTGCGTGGAACCACTTTTTAGCGCAGTTCCTATTCCAAATCTGGGTTGTAGTATTGCACTGTTCAGTAAGTTCCCCAAGATCTGATAGAGCTTCCTCTGACCAAATCTCAGATCAAGAATACTCTAAGGGCTATTATAAAGTTGATGATAACTTAATGATAGTAATGCATGGACATTATAACCTTTCTTGTTATAGCAATGTAATAGGAATTAGAAATTCTTCATAACAATGATAATTGGTAACTGTAGCCGATTCCTATACTAACAATGTAAGGCTACTTGTTTATTAATTTTATGTTCTAAATTAATTAATGGAAGGTGAAGGTGACTTCATAAATTTGGTATATTTTTCAACTTGACGACTCTGTATATAATAATACAGGAACTGATGGCTTAGCTTTTCAACCTTCAAAAGTGCTTGTAGCAGCACTACACTAGACTGATTTTTTTTTACTTCGATATCATTTCTAATTCGTTGTTAATATATCATATATGTGTCGTGCATTGAGTGAGTGTCAGAATCCTCTAATGTTTAATATATCATAATGATAGATATTATCATTATGACATATCAAACACTAGAGATTTATGACACTCACTCAATGCACCACATATCAAAGTACATATTATGTAGTGAGTGTTATAAATCTCTAGTGTTTGATATGTCATAATGATAGACATGTAGTTTGATATGTCGTGCATTCAGTGAGCGTCATAAGTGTTTGATATGTCATATGATAGACATGTAGTCTGATATGTCGTGCATTGAGTGAGTGTCAGAATCCTCTAATGTTTAATATATCATAATGATAGATATTATCATTATGACATATCAAACACTAGAGATTTATGACACTCACTCAATGCACCACATATCAAAGTACATATTATGTAGTGAGTGTTATAAATCTCTAGTGTTTGATATGTCATAATGATAGACATGTAGTTTGATATGTCGTGCATTCAGTGAGCGTCATAAGTGTTTGATATGTCATATGATAGACATGTAGTCTGATATGTCGTGCATTGAGTGAGCGTCATATGTGTTTGATATGTTATAACGATAGACATGTAGTTTGATATGTCGTGCATTGAGTGAGCGTCATAAGTGTTTGGTAAGTCATAATGATAGATAATGTAGTATGGTATGTCGTGCATTGAGTGATTCCCTCACCGTTTGGAGAACCTCGAGGACAGTTTGGAGAAGAACGAAGGCCTCGCCTGGTGCGGGGAGCCTCCGTCACCGTACGCACCTCCCGCCGAAGCGCCCCGCGACCGCGTCTGGCCTGTAGGGGAGACAACGGAAATACCGTTATACAGGCAGTCCTCGACTTACGTCGTTTCGATTTACGTCGTTTCAAGTTACGTCAAACAATGTTTTGACCCTATTCCTCAAGCATACGTCAATTGTTTCGATTTCCGACATAGGAGAATTCACTTGTCGCGATGTCAATGTCCGTGGGGACGGCGTCCGTGAGGATGTCTCGACTTACGTCGTTTCGATTTACGTCGCGACTTCTGAAAACCTAACATGCCGTAAGTACGAGATCTGCCTGTATACTCATCGAAAGAGTCTAAGCAACCTGAACTGTTTTGAACTCTTAAAACGATTTTTAATAAAGAAGGGAAACTTCTTTTCGGAAGGGGTGTAAAATTGAAAAATCCTATGGAAAAGATGAAACGTAATTCCGTCACGACCGTCACACGACTATATCGAGCCCTTACCGCCAAATTATCGTAAGCGACACTCGCCAAATTATCGTAAGCGACACTTTTGTCGAAATGCGTTTTTTGTGGAAACTAATATTTTAAACCGTAACGGACCCATCTCTGTTGATATTTCCCTCTATTCTTCCCTCTATTATATTATAACGGTGTTCTTATGAAGGGAAATATCAACAGAGATGGGTCCGTTACGGTTACGACAAAAGTGTCGCTTACGATAATTTGGCGAGTGTCGCTTACGATAATTTGGCGGTAAGGGCTCGATATATTATGTGTGTGTGTGTGGGATGCGTGCGCAGCTCTTCCCGACGAGCATGAAAGATGGACGGCTGAAACGCTAACGAGCGTCAATATACAGGGTGAAATTGAATGTTTTAATGAAACTTCGTGGGAATGTTGGGTTAAGTATATAGAGTATCTCTGAATTTTTTCGGATTTTTTAAAAAATGATTTAAAATAAAATTTTGTTTTTTATTTGTTATATTTTAAGTCCTTTCCTCCTTTTGGGTACTAAATAATTATTCTTTTAAAACATGCATACTGAGTAAGTAAAAAACAAGTAATAAGCACTACTAAAAAAGACGTAAAAACAGGAGACGGGCGGCCGGGAGCAATGACCGCTCCCGCCGTTGAATACCTTCCTGCCTACCTATCTAGGTATGCGCGGTGCACAGCGCAGTGAGCGAGCGGAGTCTCAAGCGCGCGTGCGTTATCTTTTAAATTTGTGACAAGACAAGATTTGCAAATAATGCCTTGATTAGTTCTTGTTCTGTGCCCTCAATATAAGAATTTGGATATGGTGTGTTGTTATTGCGAGTGTCACGGAATACTCAGCAGAGCCACAAGGCTTTACGAAAGTAGGTTTGGTGATTTATTGGGAAGTTATAGAGAAAAAAATTAATAGGTACATCGGTCTCGTAAGTACTTTTGAATACCTGGTAATAAATTTCATTCTGACCCAAGTATTGAACTGCAATAAGTATTTCTTTTTGTTTAACTTTTGCCTATTTCCAATCGTGACAAAATTATTATTAACTTTTTAAGTTTTTCTCTGCTTAAGAGAAGATGACATTTGTGCTTATTATTTCAATTTCAATAAAGGCATCTAAGACGATTTTATTGTATTGTGTGGAATCAAACGAGTCAGCTGAGCTCTGTGTACGTACCTACTCACTCAACGGCTGGCGGGCGCGGTCGGTCGTTGACCCGCGGTGGAATTTTACTGTTTTTCCGTTTTTTAGAAGTGCTTATTTATTAGTTGTTTTTCACTGGATATGTAAGCATGTTTGTTTAATATGAATAACTACTCAAAAGGAGGAAAGGACAAAAAAATACACAAATTATAAATAAATACATGAAAAAAAATACTTCAAAAAAATCCGAAAAAAATCAGGCATACTCTATACTCGTAACCCAACAATCTCACGAAGTTTCATTAAAACATTCAATTTCACCCTATATATATACAAATATATGAGTGATGCATGCGCTGCTCCATTTCCCTATGCACCGCCTTATGTTAGGTTATTTAATTTTAACAAAAGAAGTTTCACTTCAGATGTGTGGTCCGTGCACATTTTTTTTTTATTTTATTAATAATAACCACTTAGCTTATTAGTGACTAAAGCAAGATTTTTTTTAAATAAATTATACATGTGATAACGATAATAAAATATGTCAACTGATAAAACTTGTAATTTGTGTAAATGATGTATTTTGCTTAGACTTTTTTTTACGTATGTATAATACCTACATACATAAAAAAAAGTCTAAGCAAATAATATTATAAATGTAGAAGTTTGTATGTTTCTGTGTTTGCTACGTAATTACGCAAAAATTACTGAACTGATTTCGTTGAAATTTTGTACGCATATAGTTTATGATCTGTACCCCTAGCACGAACCAATATAGAATTCGTTTGCGAGTCCGAAATGTCATTGTCAAATGTGTACTGATTTTTAGTTCTCGTTACGTACTTTGTGCCGCTGCTTTTTCCATACAAAATTTGATATTGACATTTCGGTTTGCAAACTATTCGAATTAGATAATGGTTCGTGCTAGGGGTACTGAGGTCCAAGCACAACTCCGTAACGTATCGCATCGCCAGCCATTAAAACTAAGTAGCTCCTCGATCGGACGTAAGAACAAACTACATTTTCCATAAAAAAATTAACGATTACGATACTTTACAGAGCTGTCAAAAACTCGTGCTGGTGCTCTGGATTGAGACAAAGGATACACTGTTGCAAGCGCCATGATCACAGAATAACTGCGGGGAGATGTTATTGGCAGACATTACGATGTCTACGTCGTCGTTTATTGCACTCGACACCGCAACCACTGGTCACATTCTCAAAATTCATTCGCACGTATTCCCGCCGCACAATACTCATAGTATCTGATCGCGAAACAACACTTTTTTTATTTTTGCGGTTTTTATATATATACCGCAATATTTTTAAGAGTGCCGCAATATCGGAGCCTCACCGGAAAAATCATCGAAAACAATTCATCGAATTACAATTCTTCGAACACAATTCATCGAAAAAATAATTCGTCGAACAACAATTCTTCGAACGGTAATTCCCCGAAAAACAATTCGTCGAAAACATTAATTTATTTATTTTTTAGGACGGCACATCGAGGGTCATTGGGTCCTCGGTATGATTGAAGACGAGTCTGAGGAACTGCGGTTGGAGGTGTGCCCAGATAATATAAGATCCGCAGAGGTGCTGGTGCCACTCATCAAAAAACATGTCAAACCGGGTACCACAATTCATACGGACTACTGGCGAGCATATGATTGTCTGGGGCAACATGGATTTATCCACAAAAAAGTAAACCATTCTGATCCAGACAACCCATTTATTGCCCCAGACGGTACTCACACGCAGAGGATCGAGTCCCAGTGGAGGGCTGTCAAAAGATATTTCAGAAAAGATAATTATAACCATCCGCACGATTTTGCAGATTAGATTGTAGAATATTTGTGGCGCAGAAACATAATTAAATATAAAAAAGACGCGTTTTTAGAAACAATTAATGCCATAAAACATGTATACAAAATAAATTAATGTGTAGAATTTCATGCTTTTTATATTTCATATTATTAGTGACAGAACCGAAGTGGGGCGGGGGGGCGTAGCCCCCGCAAGGGGGGCGCGGGGGGCGAAGCCCCCCGCAATGAATAAAGTCTAAAGAGTTCATTAGGTTAGGTTAGGTTAGTATGATGACCAAAAACGCGCGAGCCGAGCGAGCGGAGCGAGCGTGCCGCGGCAGCGGCCGGCGAAGCGCCAGAAACGACACTTTTGTACGTGCAACGTTTTTTTTTCATACTTTTTCCCCTTTCCCCACCTCGTTTTAGCCTCCCTCCTGCTAAATTTTCATTTTTTTTTTGGAATTACCGTTCGAAGAATTGTTTTTCGACGAATTGTTTTTTCGATGAATTGTGTTCGAAGAATTGTAATTCGATGAATTGTTTTCGATCAATTTTCCGCAAATCATATCGGAGACCCATAAAAAAAACTAGTGTGCTTATTATGGGTCTCCGATATGATTGACCACACGACTGAAGTGAAACTTCTTTAGCTCCATCTGTATGTATATATGTACAATATATACATATTTCATTCACTAGCTATAAGAGAAAGAGATAAAGAATATGTGCGCACGCACTGCTTTCTCTTGCTTATATCCCCCACTCAAATCCCGTTCGCATTGCCCGAACACAGTTTTCGTAACGTGTAACGCATTCGCCAGCTTACCCCCCAAGTCAAGCGTGCGTAAAGAAGTTTCACTTGAAAAACAAGGTACACGGTAGCAATTCAATTTCAACGACCTCCGTGGCCGAGTGGTTTGTACGCCGGGTTTCATGGTGTCGCCGACTCGAGAGGTCCCGGGTTCGAATCCCGGTGGGGGGCAGATGTTTGTGTGATGAATATGAGCATTCGTACTCCAGTCATGGATGTTTAATATGTATTTCTATATAAATATACATATAACACAATCCTTGCTTACTTTGGGGCTAGGCTAGTTGGTGTGAGTGTTGGAAATATTGATTTATTTATGAACGTTTAAAACGATATACTAATGTAACAGGGTTATAAGGTACAAACAACCTGAGTGGAAAGTAGACCGGGAGGGCACATTTCTCGGGAACACTAGTGGGTTGTTGTTCGGGAACTCCCGGCGCGCGCCGCTCCCTGCGTTCGTGCCAGTCGTGATCGCAGAGTTCAAGCTGTGGGACAAAAAAGTATAATAATAATAATAATAATTTTATTTCCAATAAGACGTAATTTACAATTTAACTTGAGCTAGGCAAAATGCCTGTATTACGGCATACATTGCCAATCTACTTAGCACATATGGCATCATAAGTCCATTACACTGAAAATAATGTTGTAACCAAATCAATAAGACACTGATATTCTTCTTGAGGTCTTACGAGTATTTAAAAACCGTAATGTACTTTTTTTTTATACATAGATCCGCCAAATGACTCCACCCCGTTAAGTGACGGTGAAGTCCAGACGTGAAGATAGCTGGTACAGCAGTTCTACCTGCCACACCAGCCATCCTCATCCTGCCGGCCTGCGTGTTGCTTCTTCACGCCTCTTTTAAAGGATCCCAGGTTGTAAAACCCCAATACCTAATAATTGGTCCAAGTGGACTTAAGAAACGTTTGATATTTTAGACATATCTAGATTTTTAAAACCTTTCCTTTTTTATGTATTTATCATGTCAAATTATTATATGCCTCAAGGATTCGAGGATAGCTGATATGGCTAAAAAAGGTTCCGTACCAGCATGAGCACCGCGATATTAAATAAAGCTTGTTTTTATCACGCTCAATTGTCAAATTACTATATAGTTTGTTAGTTAGGAGCGATAAAAAACGTGACATAATATAAATTGTGGTGCACATACATACTACCGGGACAGACATCCTCGTAGGGTTTAAATTGAAGGCATTTTGAACCCTATGTTGGTGTCAGTTTGATAGTACTTGTGGAAGTACTATCAAAAACTATCGACAAAATTGGTTCTTAATTTAACTATTCAAGGCTGCACTTCTACAAATAAAGTTAGGCAACCCGTGACAGCCAGTTAAATTAAATGACGTCTCTGAATGCATCCGCGAGTGACAGCGAACTAATAATTTATATTGAGAATGTATATTCTGTTTCTCTACTATTCATAAAGACTAATATAACATCTAGGTACCTACAAAAAAAATCAATCATAAAATCCAAAAAAAAACTTGAACAAAAGGTCTTCTCTACTAAAACCATCATAATTTCACAAAATTTAACATTCAAAAAATCATCAGCTAATAACAGTAAACATATTTAAGTGTACTTTATAACGAAAATAAAACTGAAATAAATACTTCTTCCGCAACTACATTTTCTGAAGGACAGGCCAGATAAGGTAAGTGGATATATTCAAATGACAAAGGCAAAATCGCTCTTATTACATTCTAATAAAAGCGCTGTCAAATTCGTATTCTGTATCCACCACACAAACCAACTGTACACACTTGTAATGCGGGCACATCAAATGGATATTCGTAGGTATATGCTATTTGTAAATTTGACAACATTCTCTCCTTTTCATTCTCTATTAAAGTGGTGATAAGGACAACCTGCCACCAAGAAGACAAATAGCAAATACGAATAGCTATGTGAAGTGCTAGCTTTACACTAACACACTACTTACAAACTACGAAGCGACAAAACGGACGATAACAACAAAGGAAAGTATTAAAAACGAAAAAAATAAAAACACAGTAATTATTTTAAAGAAAACCAGCGTTTATTCATATTATACAAAACAGCGTAATACAATGTCACAGATTAAGGAGTATTTATTATATTTCATACAGAGGTCCATGCCTTACTAGCTATTACCAGTATATGGTGTTGTACCTAACAAAGAAAATTGCAAGATTTTTTTACTAGTTCATAGAAGTCGGACTTCTGTATGAATTATATTCCTTATACTGTGGTAATATTTTCCAAGCGTGGTTCTGCGGTTAAAAAACTCCTTACGTTGTTGGTGAAAGCTGTGTAGAGCCGTGATGTGATCAAAATCAAAACCTAGAAAGCTAATGAGGGTATCTGCTTGAAGATAAAAAGTAATAAAAGTGATAAGCGAAAAAGAACCCTATACTGACTGACTAAAGTTCACTAGCTTTTAAAATCGCGAATTTGACACTGATCCCATGTAAAGACGTATTATTAAAATTGACATTAAGTATCGTTGAAGTTAATCATGTCGCGTCCTACTTTATTATATTTAAAACTATGTTTGTTTCGAGGATTTAGATTATTTAGTTAGATAGGACACGATTACGATAATATTGATGTAAAGTCAAAATTAAAAGTGATCAGAAAAATATCTAAGAATAGTAAAATTATTCAATTTTTCGCGATTGTGAATGTTGATTGGGAATAAATAAAGTACCACTGCTATACACAGTGGTCAGTCAGTATAAATATTCAATAAATGAAAGCAGTGCTATGTGCGAGCAAGGAAGCAAGCAAAACAAAAACAAGCAAAGATTATGAATTTTATTATAATTTCAAATTGATTTAGTTCAAAGCACAGACAACTCTAAGAGTCTAAGAGTTGCCGCAGTCGTAATTTTTCTCCATTATTTTGAGTCATATATAAAGATATTTTAGACAAATTAAGTTGCTGTTGACTGTACTGATCAGCGGTTAATTTATCTATCTCTGTCATACAACGAACAAAATATAAGGTTGTAGTATTTAAAAGGTATATCAGTACCCTTGGCACGAACCAATATCGAACTCGTAACGTTTGCGAGTACGAAATGTCATTATCAAATGTGTACTGATTTTTAGTTCTCGGTGCGTCCGTTATGGCGATGCTGTTCAAGTTTCCAACAATATTTAACACTGACATTTCGGACTCGCAAACTATTCGAATTCGATAATCGTTCGTGCTAAGGGTACTGTAGTGTTTAAATGGGTTGTGGGTTGGGTTATGTTTAGGTAGGTAGGGGATCACGGATGAAGAAAAGTTATATAATTCGGCCCTAGGAAATATTTTAATAGAATGAGAGGAACGCAAAAAAATATCGTGATCATTTAAAAAAAAAATAAGTACCAAGTTATGTTATTTTTGGTAAGGTGTGAGTGTGAACAAAATACGAAATAACCTAGTGCAAGATTATTTTTAGTTTATTATCAAGTACCTACATGTTGGTGGGTGATTGTAAGACGTTAATGAACTTAATATTCAGGAAAGTGTGAGTAGTTTATCAAATAATTGTGAAATATCTAGTAAGTAGTATTTAGGCAGTTTCTAGCGAGATATCTAATAGGAAGTTGTGAAATATCCAGCGGGTAATTATCAAGCAGGAGGTAAGAAAATATCATTGTTGTGCAATTTAAAGCGGGTAGTTGTAAGATCTCTAGCGGGTAATAGGGATGATAACTAACTTTTTTATTCGTCTATCAAATAGATTATCAAAAAGAATAGGACACGAATTTTTTTTTTCACATGATGAAAACATAACAGAGACATTGATTTGAAATGTCGCATGACGTCACGTCGTGGAACAATTTTTACTTAGTGCTGTCACGAACCTTCACTTTGACGAGTTTCATTTGTCGCTTTTTTTGATTTTTGATGATTTGATAATTGATTGACAAAAGAAAAGCTAAAGTGTCCATTACTTATTTGGTAATCAAACTGACGGACTAAATAGAATTTCGTTTACTACACCCCGCCATCATCCCTATTGCAAGATATCCATCATAGCATTCAAACAGGTAGCTGCAACACGTTAAACTTGTAACAAATACCTCGGACGCGGCTGCGCTAAATCTCTCGCAGACGCATGCGGGGCATCCCCAGCTTGGGAAGCTGCGAGCGGCGCGGCGCCCGCGGAGGATATGGACGCGCTCTTGACGTGCGTGCGGGTGCCGTTACCCCCTCCACCACTACCCCCGCCACTCGTGCTGCTGCCTGTGGTGGGGGCACTCCCATTGGATGTAGTGGCACCGTTCGTTGCGCCGTTTTTGGTTTCGCTGCCCGCGGCCCCGCTAATATATAATACGCATGCTGTTAGTGAGATTGTATTGTATATAAACATACATAAGTATCTGAGTGAATTGTGGATCGAAACCAATGATAGATAGAGAAGGTGGCGTTTCATAATTTACATAAAATGGGACATTAAACACGGACACGGAAATGGAGGCGGTCTTTACGTGAAACTGGGTATCGTTACCCCCACCACTATTACCCCCCCGTCGCCGTCTGCCACTTTTAGTTTCATTGGGCGGCACCGCTGTGTTTATGCATGCTGTTAGTTTCGATTGTATCATACAAATACATATATTAAGTATTATATAGTATGAATTGGGAACATATTTACATGTATCATTTTAAGTATGTTGTGTAAATTAATACCGTCGATAAAAAGTATGGTGTGTGAATGGGGACCGTTACTGATGATGAATGGAGGACGTGGCATTAAATAAAATGAATATTATTATTTTTTATATTTTCAATTAAAAAAATAAATATAAGGAATAATCAATAGTTACATCTAATATGGTGCTTCTATGAAACAGTTATGACTATGTTCAATAAATTAATTGAAACAACATTTGCCATTTTATTCTACGTTATAGTTTTAACTAACGTTAACTGCTGTGTAGAAGCACTCTTAAGACTGATTCTAATATTAAAGGTATATTGACTTGAGTCGTTGAAATTAAATCAACGAAGTTAAACGTCCTTTTTGCAAAAACTTAAAGGATAAAATCTCGCCCTATAAAAACATATTTTTTAATTTGTATGTATGAATAAAATATATTAATATAAAATAACACAGAAATAAAATTATAATGAATAGTTATAACAAAACATATTTCGTATCACGATGGATTGCAACAATATTCCCATAAGATGATAAACAACAACGCATATAAAAGAGAAATAAAATACATGACAATAAATATTATTCCGTACATAACCACATACACCAGGTTAATTTAATTTCAGGAACATGCTAATTGAACGAAACTCTTTTCAAGTACTCACCATATATTTTTATTCTGCTAACTGATTTTATAAGAAACAATAGGTATATATTCAAAACAAAATCACGAAAAAACTATAATTCTATTCCAATGAAGTCGTATTTATGCGAATATTAATGCTTGTCACTTTGTATTTCACGTGAGGCGGATCACTATCGTATCAAACCTTCCAATATGAAAATTATTTGTTTTTAAGTTAGATTCACTAAATAAGTTTTCAATATCACACAATATTACATAAATTATGAACGTAAAATCCTTTTAAATGTCAACTTTAAAAATTGTCAACGTATTTAAGAAAAAAAAAAGTACCTGTTACAAACGTAATTAATTAATAATAATATGTGTAATAATGTGTTAATATGTATGTGTAAACTATTGATTTTTGTGTGTGTATGTGCAGGAGTTTCATTCGATTGTCTTTCGACAAAGTGATCGGTTAAGAACAAGGCAAATATATTCACAGTAGGTCCATATTTAAAATTTATTTTTGTACTTTAGTCACTTATAAATCAAATATATTTATTATCAAAAAACCTAATAAAAGTATTAAAAATATTATCAATCGGTCAAAAGTTCCAAAAAAGTTCGTGTTGCTAAGACTCTTTTGCTGACTATATTTAAATTGTTTATATGTTTAATACTCGTAGTCAATAATATATTATTTCTATAGATAATATATACGTTCGTTCATAGTAATTGCGTTAAAAATCTGTTCCAACTCAAAATGTTTTCTTGTGCATAGAGTGACATTTATAAGTCGTCAAGACGTACCAACGAGGGCTACCGTTTTTTGTCGACGTAGATCCTGACGTGTGGCTTTTAAAGTTTGTTAATACGCGCGTTAAATCTTAGTTGACATTTTAATCATATTTTAATACAAAAGAACCGTCGGCCATGCCACAGTGTTGCGCAGTTCCGTTTTGTTAGGCATAAAAGGAGTACATTATAAATTTTCTTAGTATCGTCTATTTCTAAAAACTGATATATTATTATGAAAGTGTGATACTTACGCGGGTGAATTGTGCGTGGGCTCAGGTTTGGTTGCGCGTGTGTCAGTGTAATTCAACGAGTATGACACATTTGTTAAGGGGGTGTCCAGGGGTTCTTTCGACCTCCGCCCTCCTAACTCCCACGCCCCCTCCCCCTCCCATATTAAATTAGTTTTTCAGTGGCAGTGGATGTGAGGTTTTGAATACTTATTATAGTAAACATCCTAATAATGAAGTCCCGAAAGTAGACATAATTATGTGCACTGTAGTCCTTTGAGTTGGATTCTTTAAATTGTTTCAATTAACTTGTTTTTATAATGCTACATACGCGGGTGAATCGTGCTAGACCCTCGATCAATGTGCGGGATCTTGCCTCCAGTTTAAAGATTTTAAGTGTTATCGTCTGTTATTTTATTGATATTATAATGTTACATACGCAGGTGAATAGTGCTAGGCCAATGTAAGATAAACACCAGTTTTGACAATTGTTGGCGACAGACACGGGCCGGTGACCAGTTGCCATATTTTTAAATTTTATTTTTATGTTTGATGGTTTTGAAAAAATCTAATTAGAGTTCCAAGGCACTAGCGGTTGGCTCAGTTTATTTGCAGTCGACTGTATAAACCAAGTAGGTAGATAAAATGTGTTTCCAGTGCCGTCTTTGACCTATTGGAGGCCCTGGGCATATTAGGATAATGAGGCCCCCATGACTTTCGTTTGGTGATTTAACAGGAACTAGGGACTTTGTATTTGATCTGAGGGGGGCCCCTATCGATCGCGGGGCCTTGGGCACTTGCCCAAAGTGCCCACTGGGAAATACGGGTCTGTGTGTTTCAGTGTTTGTGTGAAGTCACCTATTTCTAAAAACTGATATGTTACTATGGTACTTACGCAGGTGAATCGTGCGCGGGCTCAGGTTTGGGCGCGTGATGCGTGGGAGCCCGGCCCCCGGTCAAAGTGCGAGACCTCGCTTCTAGCTTGGGTTGAGCACTCGTTGGCCGCGTCGAACTCGCCACCTGTATCGCAAACAACGAAAAAATTATGAAAAAGAAAACAAATAAACAACAAGTTTTCGTTCCTCGTTTATAGTTATTTATGACTAGCTGTGCCCCGCGGTGTTACCCGCGGTTTATTAGGGATATTTTCCCACAGTTAAACGTAGCCTATGTGTTAATCCAGGGTGCCAGCTAACTCCATACCAATTTTTATTAAAATCGTTTCAGCCGTTAGACGTGAAGAAGTAACAAACATACACACTCACAAACTTTCGCCCTTATGATATTTTGTGTGATATTAGTGCGGTAAGTTTGCAAATACCAATTCCGCACGAATGTCATACAACGTTTTTAACAACGGTGTAGGTACAGAATTTAAGTAATGAAGCAAAGTTTTTCTTATAAGAAAACGGCGCGTATTTCTAAATGGCGCCACCTACTTCTCTTTATCTTTTTAATATTAAAGTGAAACAAAGATATAGATTAAAAGCGCTTCCAAGGAGGTTCCATCGAAATTGAAAAAAAAACCCGTAATGATTACGCACGACGTGCATGTATGGGTGTGTGCGGTAAAATATTTACCGCACGCTCCGTTGTATGGCCCGTAATTTTTAAGTTACGAACAATGTATACACGCATTTTTCGAGCAAATATATAGAAAAAGTAATTTGATTCAGATGAAAAAATTAACACCATTTTAAAGGTAGGTACATAATATAATACAAGATTCCACAACTTATTCCTTATCACGCTTTTATTAAAAAAATGGATATCAATAATAATGTCAACATAATATTGCATTCTTACGTGCATAATTATACGTGTAAAATAACAGCTCGTTCGAAAGCCAAGAAGTGTATACACATTTAACTTGCAAAATTTTATATCAGACACAATGGGACAAATTAAACTAATTAAAACTCATAAAATGGGTATTATTTAGATTTGTGTGCTCGTGATACGACTTTAGAACTGTTTTCTTTACACTAGCCAGTGACAAAAAGACAATACTAATTAATTTCCGTAGATTGCTCTATATGATTCGCCTAACCTGTGAAGCTCTGACAATTTAACTTACCGAAAGAACACACACTGAAAAATATCGATATACTTGGCTACAATATTTGTAAACTGGGGACACATATCCAGATAGACATCCTCGATTTAAAGCACATTCTTAGTGCTTTAAATTTTGAGATTATCTTATCATAGTAAAGGGGCTACAATCTTTGTAAGATTGAGAACACATATGAGACAGCAAATCGAGTACATCTTGGGTAATTTTAGGGCGGAATCCATTTTCATCTGGCAACGTAGTTTACTCTCGTTCTTACTACATTTCTGCCAGTCACGTAATAGTAACCTTGCATAGCTCCATTTGTTTAGCCATCTTCAAAATGTCCGTGGAACCCTACTGTGTAATTAAACGTAGACAATAGTTGTCGCATATCGTTTTTGGTCAGGAGGAACTCGATGGCGCAGGTGATTAGCGCGTTCGGCTGCGATCGTTGAAATTAAGCAACTTTCGCAGTGGTCGGTCATTGGATGGGTGACCAAAAATGACTAATTCGAGCTCCTCCGTGCTTCGGAAGGCACGTTAAGCCGTTGGTCCCGGCTGCATTTGCAGTCGTTAGCACCCACCAATCCGCACTGGGCCCGCGTGGTGGGTCATGGCCCAATCTCCCTATTCCATCCATAGGGAAAGCCTGTGCCCCAGCAGTGGGGACATTAATAGGCGGATGATGATGATGTTTTTGGTCAGGCCATTAGGTAAGCCGTCCTTTTCTCCGAGATTTTTCTTATAAATATCAATATTTTAGAAAGAACCAGGCACACACAATTCAAACAGTAAGAATAATCTTAAAATTGTAATCTTAGTTAAGGAAATGTCCGAACCTGCATTTGTGCGATCCGTGCTGTGTTTTCCTTTATGGATGCTGAGTCAATTGTGTTCTGCGAATCAAACGATAAATATACAATAAATATTACGTTCGCTGATAAAATAAATAATCACAGGAGTATCACATAAATATCAAAGTATGGCAACATATATTTTCGTTATATATTTCTTTGGTATGTACACCAACAAAATACATACATTTCGTTACATTCACAACCTTAGTATAGAAAACACTATGTGTGATTTCTACAACAGGTATACTCAGTAATTCCTTAATTCAATTTATTAATTCCATCTATCAATTACAACATATCATGTGGGCACTTCACTTGGCTATTTGCATTCGGTACTCTTAAAAGCTTCTTTCAGTTCTTATCGTGTTTTTAATGAAATGAAAAGGACAGAATGATACCCAGTTCACGAATAGCAAACACGAATAGCCGAGTGCAGTGATGGCATCAACAACAAACAGGCAAGGATGGCCTTTATATTGATTCCTCTCTCAGCTGGACCACACAAATTGCCGAAGTGAGCCGCAAGATTGTTTACTCACTTCGTTTCTTGAATCGGTTCAGGAATTTTCTCCCCATCAAAACAAAAATTTTGCTTGTAACATCTCTTATATTTCCGCTCATTGATTATGCTGATGTCTGTTATCCCGATCTGAATGCTGATCTTTTAAATAAATTGGATCGTCTTATAAATAATGCCATTCGCTTCATCTTCTGTCTTCGTAAATTTGACCACATATCTGCTTACAGGTCTCAACTAAAATGGCTCCCTATACGTCAAAGAAGACAGCAGAGAATATTATGTACTCTGTATTCAATTCTCTTTGACCCACACTCTCCAGAATATCTAAGATCCAAATTTCAGTATCTTTGTGATACACATAACCTTCAACTTCGTTCTACTGATACTCTTGCTCTATCCCAACCTCTCTTTCACTCTGGCTATATGTCTGATTCCTTTGCCCTTCAATCTTCACGACTCTGGAACAGCCTCCCTGACTCCATTAGAAAGTCACCTAATAGGTTCATTTTTAAAAAGAAAATTCATGCACTTCTTCTGGATAGCCTTCCACACTAACGTTAAACTCATTTCCTAAGTCGCTTTCAGTCTCATCATCGACATATTTTATATATATGTACGTATGTATATGTGTATTGTATGTGTATATATATGTGTGTGTGTGTGTATATTTATATGTCTTGTGCTTATATATATTTAATTATTATGTATAAGATAAGTATTTTCTATTATGGTATGTTTATATTATCAATTATTTTTTTACTAAAGCCGCATTCGTGACTTTCTGTACTCCTGAAGGTTGACTGGCAGAGAATGCTTTTAGCGTTAAGTCCGCCTTTTGTCCATTTTGTAATTGTGGCAATAAAGTTTAAATAAAAAAATAAAATAAATAAGGATGCGATTAATATTCCAAGATGAAATACGCACAGTTACGCAGCAATTTCTTTTTCTGATATGCTGCGGTTATTGGAAGTCTTTATGTGTGTGTGTGTGTCCGTATAGCAATATATTGTCAACATACCTGTCTCTTAAAATTTGTCGTCGTTGTGGTGGATGTGGCCGTCGTGTTGTTCGACGCACTAGTCGTCGTACCGACTGCAAAACGATAACAGTAACAATATTATTGCAAACAAATAAACAATGTTTGTCAATCATGTGGAGTAAAGAGTAAAAGGGTGACGATTTCTACCCGGTCCTAAGGGCGGTTTCAGACTAGCGTTTTTTTCTGCGCGTGTACGGTCGTTTCGGCATATGAACTTTCACGCGTGCTACATTACGCGCTTTCAAAATTCGTAGTCGCATACACGGGCATAATTCGGCGTATTCGCTCCAACTAGTAGTGGTGCCTCTCGCGGCTCGCGCATTCAAGCGCGTCAACGCTCGTACGAGCCGCGCGTGCCGCAAAAGGTGCCTCAATACGCGATTACATGCGCTCTCAAAAAAACGAGCTTATACGCGCGTAAAACGCTAGTCTGTACCCGCTCTTAGTTTGTTCACGAGTACGATTTGTAAGTTTGTACCACAAAACATACAAGAGCAGTAACGTAACTCAGCCGTTTTCTACGATGTTTACGTTACGTTTTCTTTAACCTACGACAGAGCGGAGCGGAGCGCTAGGGTTGGTACCTACAAAATGTAAAACAGGTATGTGTATAGTTTTAGGTTTAGGAATATAACATATGTTAATTTAATGATAACATTACGGAATCGAAACGGAGACAGACGGCGCGGCGCAGCTATCTTAACTCGGCCAACGACCAGTCTCGGCGGCGCGCGACGTGGCACTGCGTAGTTTTGTCTTGCCAAGATTGGTTAGCGGCCGTATAAATGACGTTTGTCTGTGTGCGTGCGTCGTAACCGGGCACTAGTATGAAGTCAAGATACTGCTCTTGTATGTATTGTGTTTGTAGCGACCCCAAACCGTGACTAGCACCGGTGTCGTTAACAAACCTCCATAGTGCCCCATACCCAACTGACGGCCGGACGTAGACACGGTTTAAAACCGTCTCGTGAACAAGCGCCCTAAGGCCATGAAAATGTGAAAGATATAAACATTACCGATTAAAATTATTTCATCAAATCACCAATTTTATATATTTATTTACTAAAGTTCTTTCCCTTTAAATTAATGATTAGTAATTAGCTAGCTATTTTTGTTTCCTCTTGATTATAAATATCATAACTTGTTTTGTCTTGTCAATATATTTTTGTAGTTTTGTTATTATTATTTTTTATTCTAAAACTAAATAATAATCATAAAATCGCTTCTAAAGCAGACAAACTACGAAAGCCCCGATGTTATTATTTGTCAAAGCATTACAAATACCAAATGAAATGATTTCACCTTAACCCGACTGTATGTATGAATTGGACGATTGAACGACACCAAAAATGTTTTAGCTAGTCATGAATAGACAATAACAACACATTTACATTGAATATTAAATTAGTATATCTAATTAAATTAGGCAAAAGTTTGTACACTGTGGTCCTTCGAGCTGGATTTTTAAAATTATTTCCATCAACTTTGGATTGTTTATATTTGACAATTGTCTATCCAGAATTCCGATTCCATCTTAGCTTAAATCAAAAAGGGAACATACTGTATTAGTCTCGTATTAGTGACCCTCTAAAATTAAGTGCACACTATTTCGCTATAGCCGCAATTTACTAGCAAAAATGCTGCGCATGATCTTTAAATCAAAATTGTTGATGTTGTCTGTTTAAAAAAAAGATAATAATACCATGATGTGCTTTAAAAAATTGCACAAAAAACTTAACAACAAATTAATACCGCGGCATCTTTTTTTATATTTTTTTTTCTTCCACAGTCATCTAATGAATTTTGACGTAAACAGCTTGCCGTTCAGATTTAAGTAATTGTCTTTTAAAGTATTTTTTTTAAACATACAAATCGTTTTATTTTTTTGTACCACGTTTCTCTCAAACAAGTTTAATTTCTGTTTACCAGCAATACTTTGATATCGTTTATTAATTTCATTCCATTTTTGGCTGCCAATCCACTGGAACGGAGCGAGGCTGCGAAACGGAGAAACGGAAAAATAGTAACCAATAAGATTGCACAAAATCTGTCCACAGAAGAAGAGCGGAGATTTTGTGCATTTTGATTGGTAACTATTTCTCCGTTTCTCCGCTCCGCAACCTCGCTCCGCTCCGGTGGACAGGCCGGCTTACAGTGCATCGTTTCGTTTTGAGTTATTATCTATGATTACCTTGCGTGCGCAGCACTTCGGCGCCCGAGGAGGCGCGTCGCGAGGCGGCCGGGCGCGCAGTCGCCGATATGGAGCGCTGCACGCCGCGGTGCGACGGCGAGCCCGCGCCGCCGCCCGCGCCTGTACGATACTGAACGCTCATACAACGCTCATACTACGATATACGCGACATTAGACACGCGAGGGGTAACGTCCCCACCTAACCCAACTAGACAACCTACATGTCTAGCTGATTACACGCTCATTCGATACGATACCATGCGAGACAGCCGGGCGCGCCGTCGCCGATATAGAACGCTGCACGCCGCAGTGCGACGGCGAGCCCGCGCCGCCACCCGCGCCTGTACGATACTTAACGCTTACACAAAGCTCATATTACGATATACGCGAAATTAGGCCCGCGAGGGATAACGTCCCCGCCTAACCCAACTAGATAACCTACATATCTAGCTAATTACACGCTCATTCGATACGATACCACGCGAGACAGCCGGGCGCGCCGTCATATTACGATATACGCGACATAAGGCACGCGAGGTGTAACCTACACCACCCAACCCAACTAGACGACCTACATGTCCAGCTAAATACACGCCCATTCAATACGACACCACGCGTGGCGGCCAGGTACGTCGACGCCAATATGGAGCGCTGTACGCTGCAGTGCGACAGCGACCCCGCGCTTGCGCGATTTATGGTCATACAACGCTCATATTACGGTGATATAACGCTTATATCACAGTCATATTACGATAAACGCGATATTAGGCGTATAATGTACAATATTTGACTCGATGCTTTATTTTAACTCACACCATGGTGTAACGATTCGAACGTAACAGAACCCGCCGCACGCGCCACCGCCTATGCCTGCGTACAACGCGACCATAACACGATACACGCGATAACACTCGCGGGACAACAGAAACGGCCTAACCTAAGCTATACACGGCTGTAGTTAAACTACGCACATCCGATACAAACACGCGCCGTAACTCATATCATCGTCATATTACGAAATACGCGATACAAGGTACGCGAGAATACGCGAGGGGTAAGGTCCGCGCTCATACCACGATACGATACGCACAAGACGCGCCAGGATACACGCGGGGTAACGGAATCCGCCCAATTCAAATCTACGTCGCTTTACATACCACGCACACTGCCTAGCTCTACTATAACCTAGACATTTCTACTTTACGGAATAGGATAAGTGAGGCGATTTTGTTAACCCCTCAACTGTGAGGTGGCTGTTAGTGTTTGCAATGAACAAAGTTATCCTACTAAAATCATTTTTACGTAAAATGTTGACCAGACGAGACCATATGTTTCGCACTGTCAAAAAGTTATCAGATCTCATGTAGAGCCAAGCTTCTAATTCTATACACGCCCTAACGCTACAAGGCCTTACTTCACGAACTCTTAATTTAATTCAAAATATGTGGTTTGGCTACATTGACATTGGCATGGGGTGAAAAATGTATCCACTGTTCATTACCTTTCTGCTACAATATTTGTTTGTAGTAACGAAACGAAAATTCTTTAATATTATGAAAGCAATAAAATATTTCTTTCCTTCTTCTTATTTAACATTTGGAATTTATAACAAATTTCTTATGAACGAGAAGGCCATCTATCATATTTTGTATATGGGACAGTCATGCCATTTATGGGTAACCAATCAGCTAACTATGCTGTGATATACTCTGCTATGCTCTATTTCATTAACTCCTTTGAGATTAAAATGAAGAAACAGACAATAGGATTTGTGTGATTGTCTGTAAATGAGCACACCACAACACAGCGCAATGTTGATCAAACCTAACTCATACTTTCGCGGCAAATTTCTGATTCTATTGTTCGTAGTTTAAGTTATTTTAGTGAGACATTTGCCACGCTCACAAGTCCCCTACATTTAACTATACCGTGGATTTTATAGCTATCAGGGTGTCAATTCTGCTAAGTCAACGTAAAAATCGTGTCAGAGTCATAGTTGAATAGAATCGTTTTTTGACACAGTTCCTGTTACTAAATAATGAAATTACAAATACATGTTGATAACTAAAACAAAGGAGTTACCCAATACGTTTATTATTTGGTGTTTTGGCAACAATTACTGTCATATTTTTATTTTTTACGCATTTAACTGCAAGATGTACAAATCTAAAGAAAATATTACTAGAAAGAAATCCACGCGGACCAGGTAAATGGTATTTATTTGACATTGTGGGTTACCTACAATGCGTATAGATGGCGCAGCCTTGCAGCTCGGCCATCAGGGCTGCAGTAGCATAAAGGTCAGTGCATTCGCCCGGATAGCGAAGGGTGCGGATTCGTGTTCCATCTGTTGCCTGGTCAGCGTCGAACTTTTTCTAGTAAAATTTGCTTTACATTTAAAGAATAAGTGTATCTAAAATCAAAACAAAGGAACCTTATTGCTATACGATTATTATTTTAACTAAGCAGAATCGACACTTTGATCAACTTCAACCTCATGATCATATATATAATCTATCCCTCTAGCTTCAGTATAGCTTAACGATGTCAAACATAATTTTTATACTCCTAATAAGAACACTGCCCACGCTGATTCTGCTACGAGTAAGTAACCTTTCCATAAAAAATATTTGCAAAAATCAATTGTCTACGTCAATTATGACGAAAAATATCCGTTACAAGTAGTAACGGATATTTTGATGAATGAGTAGTAATCAGTCTTGAATCGGTTGTCAAAAAAGTAAATAATATCTGGTTTAAAAATTTATTACCTAGTACCCTATATCAGATTATTGGCAATTATTTTGTATATTTTTACAAACTAACCTTTAAAAAAATCCTCGACACACCGTAAATTGTTTCTGTTTTCGAAAATACCTATCATATATTTTCGATCACGCAAGCCCACATTTTTAAACCTCATATTATACAATATATCGCAAACTATTTCACCGGAGTATCAAAGCTGGAAAAGTGTACTTACATAATATATAAACGCAGTCAAGAATCTAAATCGATGATAAATAAAAAAAAGCATCCGTTTCGTCAAGTTAATGAGTAAAGTATCTAAGAAGCGCACCCGACTATATACCAAATATGTATAATGAATGTTACGTCAACAATTTGATTATGAATGAAGCGTATACGCAAAGCTCCCGAATATATGGACTGTTACCCCGTGACGTGTTCGACGCGTAGCACAAAGCGGACAAATTGCACCCTCAGATTGAAAGTGACCTAAGTGAAATAACTTGACGTTTTCTCGAAATCAGAAATCATCGTAATTTTTGAGTTAGGTCACTTTGATTCTAAATGTGCGATTATACAATGTACAGTCGATACCTAATCAAATTCTCAAAAACTGTCAAATTTATCCAATTGAATTTTAACTTTATCTCTCTTACTTATAGGGTTCACAATTTTATGTTAAAGTCAATTGAGAAAACTTGCAGTTTTTTGGTAACCTTGTGTGACGACTGTTAAAATATAATGCTTTTAGTCGCTTTCGTTCACAAATGTTCTAATAAAATCAATGACGACAGTTGAATTACGTATATGTTACTTGAAGGGTGAAAATCGTTTGAACTCGATCCAAATAATGCGAGGAAACCGTTTAGATAACAGAGATGGAGTGTACATGATTATAAGTAAGTAATAGTATTTTTTTGTGAACGAAAGAATAAAATTTATATGGATGAGATTTTAAGCGTTTTATTAATTTACATTACAACACTTTAACCCCCTTATTATTAAACGAAGACTACGCTTGGATTAGTTACTCCATGTTTTGCCTCTGCCTACTGAATGACAAATGGCATTTGAGTGACATGCAAAAAACACGGCGTAACTAGTCCAAGCTTATTTCTTGTTTAATAATAAAAGGGGTAAAAGTTTAAGTTCAATCTAACTATATCAGCAAGATATACTATCACGAAATCTTATCCATACATATTCTATACAATAACACCAATGTCTTATACCCTTTTAATCGCATAGTACGCGCACAAGTTTAGCGGATGATAAAGAGTTCTTGCATTTTGCGAGCGAATAACAATTCTAATGCCGCAGCTTAAAGTCCAATATTGAATCGCACTCGTGAAATGCAATTAACAGCCCTAGTTTAGTGTATTCAGAGAGACAGAGTATACAAATTGACGATTTCAATATACAACGCACATTATGAACTGCACCACTGTTATTTAGGCACAAAGCGATATTTTTACAAACAACTTGGAAAAAAATATATAATATCGCAGTAAAGTGTGTTGTAATGTAGTAGTATTGTAATATCTAGTATAGTATAGTCAGGGTTGGGCAGTATTTAAATTACTTATAATTGCAATACAAATACGTATTTGGTGGTTGTATTCTAATTACTTGCTGAAAATGTAATTTGTAATTCGTATTTTTATGGTTCAAAATACATTTAACCTTCATTTAGAGATCTTAATAACGAGTGAATTCTGAAAAGATCCGCGTTCGATAGCTTTTGTAAGCAAAATGGCGAACGCTTAATAAATATGTAATTTTAGGATTGTAAACACCTAGTTGTTTGTCTTACAATTAAAAAAAAAAAATACGTTAATTAAAGTAATTATTATTATTATTAAAATATTTGAAAATATAGTGTTCATGAAAGGAAACTGGATTCTTCTTTTCCTCACTTTTTAACCATGCTGGGCTTGGATTACTAACATTACTTAAAGATATTTTGTATTTCATACTTTAAATTCTTGCTTTAAAATATTATTTTGTCATTTGTATTTCAATTACAGCAAAGCATGTGTTTTACCCAACCCCGAGTATAGTGTTGTGTTTCGTAATTTAGTATCATTTTTGTTGTCGTCTCAGATAACAGAACAAAAGGCAGATGGACACGCACTGCGTGACACCATAACAAATACGAAGCGACTATCAATTTGCGTCACTACAGCACAATGCATCGTGTTGTGAATAGGGCCCGGGTGAACATAAAGTTTTTATCAAAACTGTGTCGCCTTATTCATACATCGTAAAAACTGTTCACAAAGAAAAAAAAAGCATTTACTTTCGACTTCGTATTTGCTTTGGTGGCACGCATGGTATACCGTAGGCTCCATCAGCCTTTTTGTTCTGTAATCTGAGGTTGCAGTGTGGTGAAGTCAATGACGAATAATATAGACATAGTATATAGACAGGTCATACACCTAAATTATTGCATTTTAAAATGGCACAGGGAGTCCCCGCCCCAACTTCCCTCGGCAAAAGTCGCCAATAGAACGCACTATAGTAGTCTCTTTCACTCTCATTAATAAAGCAATTACATCTCGCTCTTAAGACTTCACGTGTCAACGGTGTCAGCAAATTGCAAAATAAGTAATCACAAAATATGTTTACCTAAAATGCTTTAAAATTGTACTTACGAATGAAATGACACGTTTTTCTTGTCTCTAATAGTTCCGTGTATTTTCGGAAGTGTAGCCGGGGCGAGAGAGCGTGCCCAACTGAATGCAAGTCGGGCAATTACCTGACTTTCGTATTGCTACGCTTTTTTTTTAGTGTGTATGCTCTTGGTCGCAGATGACCTTTACAGAGTCACCGGGTTTGGGGACGGCGAGATTCCAAGGGGACCTCAAGCCGAGAATTGGCGAGTGCCTCTAGAGGTATTCCAGGTGGATGTTATCTCCCCACGGCGGGAGTCTCCTCTCCGTCTGGAGCCTCTAGACCACACGAACCTGAGGGGGCTAGAAGCGTGTATGACGTATCTATAAGTTTACAACATCATAGGGTGTAGTGTAATGTTTTGTTGCGTGTTGAACACATACCGGTTTGCGCGGGCTGCGGTTGAGCGGCGGGCGGGGCGGCGGCGGTCCGTAATGAGAGAGACGACCCCGACCGGCTGCCGTCTGACTCCGGCTGAAGCCAAACAACAAATAAATCTAATATATAAAATTCTCGTGTCGCGGTGTTTGTGGTTAAACTCCTCCGAAACGGCTCGACCGATTTTCGTGAAATTTTATATGCATATTCAGTAGGTCTGAGAATCGGATGTAATCTATTTTTCATCCCCCTAAATGTTAAGGATAATCCACCCCTAAATTTTTTTTTTTCAATTTTAGATTTTTTTTTTTTATGATACATCATACAAAAATACATACATCCCTAAATTTTCAACTTTCTACCACCAACCCCTATTTTTTTAAGGCGGTACGAAGTTCGCTGGGTCAGCTAGTCTATATATATAAAAGCTCAAAGGTGACTGACTGACATAGTGATCTATCAACGCACAGCCCAAACCACTGGACGGATCGGGCTGAAATTTGGCATGCAGGTAGATGTTATAATGTAGGCATCCGCTAAGAAAGGATTTTGATCAATTCTACCCCCAAGGGGATAAAATAGGGAATGAAAGTTTGTATGAAAATTTGTCAATTTTAAACCGATGGAGCTGAGACTTTGCATGCAGGTATAAGAAGAATCATAGATGAATGTTATTGTGTATAATACAAGCCTTAGAACAAAAACTGTAGTCTACACTTCAGCTCTACACCGAAGCGAAGCGAGGGCGGGCCACTAGTAAATAAATATTTCCAACACTCACACCAATTAGCCTAGCCCCAAAGTAAGCACTATAAGGCTTGTGTTATGGGATGCTAGGGTAACGGATAGATTAAATATACAGTACATAAGTATATCATATTAAACATTCATGACTGGAGTACAAATGCTCGTATTCATCACACAAACAACTGCCCCCATCGGGATTTGAACCCGGGACCTCTCGAGTCGGTGACACAATGATACCCGGCGTACAACCACTCGGCCACCGAGGTCGTCAATTCAAAAGCCTGAATAGTTTAGGTTTTCACAAGCACATGTCGAAAACTACGCCATCGTATCGCAAAACTACAACGGTAGACCATGTACTGAGAAGAACCGGCAAGAAACAGCAGGGGCTACTTTTTTCTCCCTGTTTTATTTCGTACAGTGACGTCATATTGAAAGCTTACATCAAATTTGCGAACTAACATCAAATATGAGATCAACTTCCGTCACATAATTTCAAATAGGTAACAAAAAACAATCAAAGAATTTAGTAACAATATATGATGATAGAACCATCACTATATCATCAACCCGTCGATGTGCGACAACCAACTTCAAATTGTTTACTGCATGAGTGTTAGGATTATTAGAAAAATCGTTTTTTTACGGATTTTTAATCGCGGATAATTAGGCAATGGCTGTGACGTTTCTCAATCTTACCGAAAAAAGAAGATGATATTATAATCAACTTACGTCTGTACTTTTTCTTCCGAGCAGTAGGTACGTGGCGAATACGTCATCGTACTTCGCCTCCGCCAGAGAGTATTCGATCTCTTGCCGATTGTAACCCAAGCACACCAGCGCCTCTGCGGACGGAAAACAAAAGTAAATTAGTAAAAATAAAACTTATGAACCAGGACCCGAATCTGATGCATGATTCTCTAAACCTAAAACTAAATTTGGCAATAGTGTATGCCTGTCATTCTCAATACAAAATGAAAAGGAGAGACTAATATTCTTTTTTTTTAAGCATTTAACTGCTAGATGTTTCAATGTAAAGAAAAATTTCTTTTGTGGGTTACCTACAATACGAAGAGACGGCGCTGCCTTGCAGCCTAAGAAAGGCTAGAAAAAATTCGACACGGCCTTCCGAGCCGTGGTAGCATATTGGTCAGTGCATTCGCCCGGTAGCGAAGGGTGCGGGTTCGAGTCCGGTCGTCTACGAGAGACTAATGTAAAATTTAATTTTAGGTTTAGAAAATCATGGCAAAATTGACACCATCGTATTTAGAACTAAATAGTAAAAAGGCATCTCGCTAGCACTACTCATGGCTATTTGTTTTTGCTATATGTCACTTTGACAGCAGGTTGTCCTTATCCTACTCTATAAAGAATAAAAAGGAGAGACTGTTATCAAGTTGCCATGCGAAATACCGGCATAAGATAATGTTTATTGCCCGGGTTCTATATTCATTGATTTAGCTTTCATATTTTATATACGTTACGTTTCAAATAAATTTTTGATTCAAACAATATTACTCTGGTTACATAACGACACTTAGGACGCGTTGCTCGAAATATAGTTAATTTGACCACAGTCATTAACGTCAAAATTCATTGTAAATGTGACAAATTTTGAGAAATTTACTTTGTATTTGAACTATAAGGCACTTCGCGCATTAGGCGGCACGACCACGACCAGTGGCCGCAACGACCAGATTATCTAAAGTTGGCCGTTGCGGCCAAGTGTGCGCGACGTTCGTATAGTTTCTATAGTTAATCTGGTCGTTGCGGCCACTGCCCGTGATCATGGTAGTCTAGTGCGCAAGGCGCCTTAGAAGTCAAATTTAACTATAAATGAAGCGGCAATAGGCCCACTAATACAAGTTCTTAAATCAAATTTAAAAGCTTATCATTTGATTAAAGAGTGTGGGTGAAAGTGGCCCTCAATTACTAATTCAACTCCATTCAGAAATAAAATAAACACAAGAGAGTAATTTGTGACTACTTCCAGATGTGACTTATACTAAATAACACATCTTAGTCACTGAATTGACTAAAAATTAACACATTACACTACATCGGGATATCAATCGAACTTTGATTCATTTTGGAAAAACACCAACCTTCTTGTGTTAAAAGTAGAATATAAAAACCAGGCAAATGACATAAACTGCACATGAATTAATCTCTTTTAAAGGTTTTAAGCCTCCCGTCCATGCGCGCGTTATTATCGATCGATAACATCAGATATTGCGTCATACTAATATTGCGCCATTATTATCGCACCACGTATGTGTGTTAATACACTACGTAGTGTATATACACACATCAAGAACGTCTAAGCAACATGCATTAAATACACAAACTGCATATTTATCGGTTGATATTTTATATTATCGTTTCGAAATATATATTTTTTTCGAATAATGTATGTTTTTGCATTAGTCACTAATAAATCAAATCGGTTGATGAGAAAAACAAAAGATTGTAAGTCTATAAAAAAAAATATTAATGTTCAAAATATTTAATGTTGCTTGTCTGAGCTTTGTCATCAAAATAATCTTATTTTGATGTGTATATTAAAATTAACATTGCGTACTATAAACAGGTATCGCAATAACTTGTTCGATATAATCGACTGATAATAATGCGCCTATGGGGGGGAGGCCTTATCAAGCACTTTGTATTCACCTAAGGACAGCACGACACAACTAAGGTATCACAAAACGAACGCTAGACTTTAAAACTACGGACATAAGTTTAACATGCCATATGTTTTTAATAGGGTTACAAAGCGCGTCCATTTTATTTGCTTGTCACTAAATAGAGGAGTAACCCATGATTCGAACTTTATTTAAATTTTACTCATTGGAGATTACCTTTCTCAGAAAATATACTGGAGATATTTCTACTCTATTTCAACGAATTAGAAATTATATTGTTTCCATATAATTTACACTCTAATATAGGCCACTAAAACATGGTTCCAAACTCATGCAACCATATTCAATACTAACACGACACGCACACAGAAATAACAAAATAAATTGACAAATCGAATATCTGCAAATGAATTAGGCTGTCCATTCATGGGGTAAGATGATGTTAAACAGAAATCGCAAGCAATCCCATGCTCAAATGTGTTGATCGCATTTGTTTCGGCCCGCCAACTTAAACACAGTATGTGTGGAACCACTTTTTAGCGCAGTTCGTATTCCATATCATTTCTAATTCGTTGCTTTATTCACACACTTATAGCGATCACGTAATAAAAATATATGTTGCTTTTATTGAGGCAGACACTACCTATTACTCAAAACTTATATAAAATTTAGATTAACAGATATTTGAATATATGTTATATCAAAAACGTAATTTTTCTCATAATCGAAATATAGCATATTCCTATTAATATTTTGGGCCATGCCTTTTGGGGCTATATCATAATGTTTATAAAAAAATAAATAAAAATTACGAACTATGAACACATGCTAATTCCATGCAAATATATATGCATTAACATTCAATATAATATAAATTAACATGACATACAAGTATATAATAATTGAAATATACTAGAATATGAAAAATATAAACAAGAATAAACATAATTCATATTATTTAAAGTCGACTAAACATTATGAAAATCATCATTGTTTTAAATCAAATATCTAGTTAAAATAATAATGCAACTGGATCTGTTATAGTAATTAATATCGTATCAAACTTAGAAGCCAAATTAAATACTTCTATCAGTTTATTTGGCGTTTTAATAGAAATAGTAAAATTCTAATCGTTAGAAAGCTGCTTTATTATCTACTATATTATCTATTTAAATAAATTTTCATGCAAATGTCGACCTTACAAGACAGTAAATAAATATAATATAATATCTTTAATAAAGAAGAATTCCTTAGAAAGAGAATTCTAGAAAACATATAAAAATAGACTAGATAGACATAATATATTCTAACACATATACATATAAATAGTCCCGCCTCACGTACCGACTTGCGCTGTGCCGATATCAAGGGAACGATGGACGCATGTAAGGTAAAGAAATATTATACAATTTTTATGTTCACAAAAGTCTACTTATTATAATATAAGAGAACCGAGAGTGTGACAATCTTAGGCGTGCGATTGCGTAATAAATGATCTATGTAATATAGAGGAGAGTGTGTTCAAAACATTTTAATATACTTAAATTTCAGTCAACAACAATAACTCGTCTCGTCCTCTGTCATTCGGAACAGGGAAATTTCATCGTTATCGATAGAATAAAAGAATACATTTTAGTATTCTGCCAGTTTTAAGCTATATATGCTTTCTCGTGATTTAGACAACTAAGACAACACATATAATATTTAGTCTACAGTATAACTGCAACTTGATGAAGATCTTAAACCTTTGAATAGTCTCGCTGCGACTCAACACAGACTAGTATCTGTGAATACCCACCCTAATGCCAATGTATATAAGGATTAGTATAATATCTCACCCATTAGTCTGTTGTCGTAACGTGGACCTTAAATCTTTGAAATCCAACCTAATGCATATGCTACTAAAGCTCAGTATATCATCTCAGCTATCCGTTTGTTGTCCTTATAGTCCTGTTGGGGCTCGACATATGGCCGTAGTTTGTCGTCTTCGTAGCCAGTATTCATTCATTATATTTACACCCTAATCATTTGTCCCACATTATATCTACCCTAATGCCTACATTAATAAAGGTCAGTAATGCATCTCACCTATCCGTTTGTGGTCCTTATAGTCCTGTTGGGGCTCGACATATGGCCGTAGTTCGTCTTCTTCGTAGCCAGTGTTCATCCATTTGTCCCTCATAATGCTTTCGAGAGATGCTCTCTTCGCTGGATTCAGTACGAGGAATTTTTTGAGTAAATTCTCGCAGTCGGTCGACATGTAGAAGGGTATTCTGGAAGATAAGTAAATTGATTAATTATATTATACATTTTCTTTTTGTTTTTCTTTTTCTAAATTCTTATATCTAATCAATAGTTTTACGGCGATTCTGTAAAATAAAATATCACATGACAGTATCAGTATTAACAGCAACAGTGCCGTAATCTTGCTACAAATAATGTACATGGTAACAATCCCGTAAATAACATAAATTACTGTAATGTTAGTGACCATCAAAGTTTAAAATAAAATGTCACAGTTGCGAACGTTCCAATTTAAGACATTAGTTAAATATGCATTATGTTGTGACATGGCACAATGTCGCAATAGCTGTTAAAGTAGTTAAGCTACTATGGTCCACTTCCAGCAATTGTTAAATTTCAAATTAACTTAATTAATTTCTAATACTAGATTTAGCCCATACAATAATGTCAAATTGATATTGGCGTTATGACATTTTTCTATCGGATAAAGCAAGTCTTAAATCGAGATTTAGCAAAATTACTGCAATGTCGGCACTTCACATGGCTATTCGTTTTTGGCTGCCCTTATCATACTCTATTATTGGTGTATATTCTGGCATCATTCTCTAAACCTAAACTTAAATTTGACAACAGTGTATCCTTGTCATTTTCTATAGAGAATGAAAAGGATAGACTGATGTTTTTAGTTTTAAGATTAGAGGATTATGCCAGAATCGACACCATTATAATACTCTATTCGGATCTAAAGGAGAGACTTTTGTCAAGTTACAAATAGCAATTTTGGCCCGCCATCGGATGGGAGACCTAAAATTTTTTATTCCGAGCTCCTCCGTGCTTCGGAAAGCATGTTAAGCCGTTGGTCCCGGCTGCATCTGCAATCGTTAGCACCCAATACGTTGGGTCATAGGCCGTTCTTCCTATTCCATTCATAGGGAAGGCGTGTGCCCCAGCAGTGGGGACATTAACAGGCCGATAATGATGAAATTATAATATATTATTTTAAACTTTCATGGTCACTAACATTATATAACTATGCTATGTTTTATTATAGTAATATAAGTTATTTACGGGATTGTCTACCCGCAATTACTCCGTGATCATGACGCTTGCAACAGTGCCAAAATATCGGAAACTCGTTAAAAACAAGGTACATGATAACAATCCCGTAAATAACTTATATTACTATAATAAAACAATAATATTTAAAAATCTTAAGAAAACTTCACTAGACAAAATTCCAATTGGTCCAAGGTATCCTGTCCGATTCCTGAACCGAGAGGATTTTTTTGTAGTAAAATTTGCTTTAGAATTTTAAATCTAACAATGTATAATAGTAAATATTTTTTCATTCACAAATACATATATACAACCATGACTTAGGTACAAATGCTCGTATTCATCACACAAACATTTGCCCCATCGGGATTCAAACCCGGGACCTCTGAGTAGGCGACACCTTGAAAACTGGAGTGCATACCACGGGCGAGCTACGGAGGTTCTAAAAATGACAATATAATAACAACATAAACGTACCTGTATTTCCCACGTAACACCCGTTCCCTTAGTTCCCTGAGCGTGGAGCCGTCGAAGGGAAGCGAACCCGAGACCAAAGTGTACAGGATCACGCCCAACGACCAAACGTCCACCTCGGGACCGTCGTACTTTTTGCCTAGAAATGTCAAAATCAACCATTAATATTTTGTGCTATGAATTTATATACACAATAAATGAAAGCTTGCAAAAATGGGATGTTTTACTTTATAGACCTAGAGAGATACACTAGCCTGATCCTAGCTGATTTTGATAGAATTTGGTACAGGAAAACATATAAGGGGCTGTCCATTAATCACGTGAGGCTCGAAGGGGGGGGGGGGGGGGGGGGGGGCTCCATAAAAAATCACGAAATATCACAAGCTGGAGGGGGGATGTAATATCTATGGTATTTCCGTGGTTCGAGGATACTTTACATTACATAATGATCATGTATAAGCTTTTCTCATTTCTTTCATTATTTTTATGTCAGTCAAAAACAACCTGCAACCTGTATTTTATAAATATTTTAAACAAAATAATAATGGGGGGTCCCATAATAAAAGTTGTTCCTGTTGATGGGTAGAATCACCCAGAGGTTGTTGGTGATTTAAAATCCTGTATATGTATATGTTACCGGCCAAACCCGATTTCAGGACAATCTAGTTCTGCCTAGGCTAAACTGGTTCTTCCTATACGCGATAGGATTAACTAGTATAGCCTAGTCCAAACTAATTTATCCTAAGCGCGACAGGATAAACCAGTTTAGCCTAGGCCAAACTAGATGATCCTGATATAAATACGCACACTCTAGGATAAACTAGTACGACCTAGTCTAAACCAATTTAGCAAAGCGGAAAGTAATTGAACAGACATGTCAGGACTTGTACAGGGCGCGTCATGTAAAAAGAACGCTGGAAGAAAGTGGAGGGAGTGTTTTTTCTGTAATTGGTTTTTGTTTAACTCTTTTGTTGTTGCCGGGAGTTCGGAAGACAGTAAAGCCGGGTACGCATTAGCGATCTGTTACCGTAACATGCGTGATACAGTACGAAGTTCTAGTGTGTACGCTAGTAGCTCAGTTGTGAACGTTGGCTCGCTTCAAACCGCACGCGTACCGTTCTCGCAGCAGGTTATCGAACCACGTACACACTATGCTTTTTGGTTACAGTGCGTGCAACGGTTATGGTTACAGCTCGCCAATGAGTAACTACCCGGCTTAAGAAATTCCGAATCATTCGAACCTTTTACAATTCATCTCACTGTAAACTCAAAATATTTTAAGAAAAGTTTACTAGAAAAAAAAACCACGCGGACCAGGCAGCGGACCGGACTCGAACCCGCACCCTTCGCAATCCGGGCGAATGCACTGACCATTATGCTACCACGGCCCTATTCGCCGCGTCGAAATTTTCCTAGCCTTAAGCTGCAAGGCAGCGCCATCTCTTCGCATTGTAGGTTGCAACCACGCAACCCACAATGTCGAATGAATACTCTTTCAAGTATTAAACATTTAAAAGAAGAAATAGCAATTATAGTTATTGTTTTTATTTATTTTTAAGCATTTAACTGCTAGGTGTTTAAATCTAAAGAAAAGTTAACTAGAAAAATTAAACTTTTCTTACTTTTCTTTGTATTACTAATTATCCATAACTTGTAACGATGAATCATTATGGTTTTAATAAAAAATATTATTTTTCCAATTACGGATTATTTTATTCAGTTTATCTATTTATTTTGACTTTCTAGATATACTATAATGTTTACACTAGGCCATACTAGTTTATCCTAGAGTATGCGTATTTTTATCAGGATCAACTAGTTTGGCCTAGGCTAAACTGGTTTATCCTATCGGGCTTAGGACAAATTAGTTTGGACTAGGCTATACTAGTTAATCCTATCGCGCATAGGAAGAACCAGTTTAGCCTAGGCAAAACTAGTTTGCCCTGAAATCGGGTTTGGCCGGTAACATATATATTTATAGATATCTAAATATTCATGGACTTTTTATGGACTCCATAAACATGAGTAAATAACGTGAGATCGTTTTACTGAAACTTGCCCAACGCCCTATTGAACATTTATTTACCTTGAAACAGTTCCGGCGCGGCGTAGGGCGGGCTGCCGCAGAAAGTGTCCAGTTTTGCGCCCGGCGTGAACTCGTTAGAGAAACCGAAATCCGCGATCTTTATGTTCATCTCCCCATCGAGGAGTAAGTTCTCCGCCTATAATAACATGAATACATTAAATAAACCTTATATTATAGTTGGGCGTCGTCCTAATAGGGATGATGACTATTTTTTTTTTCTATGTTTATCAGGTAGATTATCAAAAAGTATTGGACACGTATTTTTTATTTTTTCACATAATATAAACATTGCAGAGATATATTGATTTGAAAAGTCGCATGACGTCACGTTTAAGTACACTTATAAGTGAAAATTTACTCAAAAGTGACGTCACGAGCCCCTACTCCCAAACTTTGTGGCGCTAAAACTTTGTCATTTTTTGGTTGATTGCCCAAAGAAAAAATACGTGTCCATTATTTTTTGATCATCTGACGGACTAAATAGAATTTCGTTTACTACACCCCGTCATCACCCCTATTGGTAACTATCGCATGATGACACGATGCGTTCTTGTCGTGCGATGATTTTCAAACGTAGAGATTTCTTCAGAGGTGTCCTAATACAGCTCGTAAGCCGTCGCACGAGCAAAGGTACATTACTTTCATCGCACGATCGTTGCCAATTAGGACGCCGCCTTAAAATGGTGAGATATATTTCTTTATCCATGAAAACACGATCCGCCTATGTATTCTATCATTATATGCTTCTATTTAGTGAACAAGTTCGAAATCCATGATAGTAGTAGAGGAGTAAGTTGTTCGCCTATAATAACATGAATACGTTAAAGAAACATGTATTATATAGTTGTTTTTATTTTATTTTTTAGGCATTTAACTGCTAGATGTTTAAATCTAAAGAAAAGTTTTAATAGAAGAAAATCCACGCGGTCCAGGCAGCAGACGGGACTCGAACCCGCACCAATTAGCGTATGCTGCCTGGTCCGCGTGGATTTTTTTCTATTAAAACTTTTCTATATGTATAATATAGTTAAAATGGTGAGAAATATTTCTTTCTCCATAAAAACACGGTGCGCCTATCTATACAATGACATTGTATGCTTCTATTTAGTGAACAAATTCGAGAAACCAAAATCCTTCATCTCCCCATCTAGGAGTAAATTCTCCGCCTATAATAACATAAATATATTAAATAAACCTTTATAATATAAGAAAAGTGGTGAGAAATATATCTTTCTCGTGAAAAATCGGTCCGCCTATCTAAACAAAGACATTATATGCTTCTATTTAGTGAAGAAGCTCGAGAAACCGAAATCAACATCTTTATGTTCATCTCCCCATCAAGGAGTAACTTCTCCGCCTATAATAACATGAAAACATTAAATAAACCTTTATATTATAGTTAAAATGGTGAGTAATAATTTGATCTTGTATTATTATATAAGTTGATACATAGTATGATTGATTCCCCTAACCTACTTGAAGGAATAAAACTTAAGATACCATTGAAAAGTGTTCGCAGGCCTGGAGTACAAATGCTCGTATTCATCAAACAAACATCTGCCCCCACCGGGATTCGGGATACTATACTAACCTTGAGATCCCTGTGTATAATCCGTTTCTGGTGACAATATTGCACCGCGGACACAATTTGCCTGAATTTGGCTCGCGCCTCTTTTTCCTTCATGCGCCCGTGCAGAACTAGATAGTCGAAAACCTAAAGAAAAAAACATTATTACAGTTTATTTACTAAAGTAGTATTGTGGTATTTTGGGTGATGGCGGCAGGTTATAATAAATACAAAGACGTAGATAGGTTGGTGTCCATTTATTGAAGAAGGCTTAATGGTACAACACATACTTATTTATAATATTAGTGCACTACGTAGTTACACACACACACACTTATAAAATATAACACACAATAAAATTACAAAACATCAGCATTTCACGTGGCCTACTTTCGTGTCATTCAATGTTGCGTTGTATTATTAATACATATTTATTAAATTATTTTCATACTATCACACGCCCCCCAAAAATCTCCATTACACCCCTCTCCTCAAAAAAGAAAAAAAAGTGTTACATTTTTTTTTTCAACCACATACATTCAGCTAAATATTATCATTATATAAAAGTTTCGTATTATTCTTATGTACTACGTACTCTCTATTATTTTTTAATATCTTTACATTAGGTGACAATTCCTCTATTACTTCATAAGGGCCGTTATACACTCTATCTAACTTATCTCTTATTTGATTTTTTACCAAAATTAAATCTCCTTTTTTATATGATATCGGGTAGCTATTTTTATCAAATGTATTTTTTCTACATAATTTATTAGTTAATAAATTTTTTCGCGCATCACACAGTGCTCTTTGTAGTCTATGTCGAAGTTCCTTAGGATAGTCATCATAGTTATATAAGGGAGTTACAGAGTCACTTAAGTTACTAGGTAAAATACAATTTTTTCCAAACACTAGCTCGTAGGGAGTATATTTTGTTTGCGTGTGTACCGAGGTGTTGAATGAGAAACACCAGTACGGAACCCAACTACTCCAATTGCTTTTGTGACTCTCACATTGTATTCTTAGAAAAGTGCCGAGATGTTTGTGAGTATTTTCTAACGATCCCATAGTTTCATGGTGATATGCAGTGGACTGTAATTTTTTAATACCTAATAAGCTACATATTTCGGTCATAATTTCGTTAAGAAATTCTGTTCCCTGGTCTGTAATTATTTCTTTTGGGATTCCATATCTAAGGATAAAATTATTTACAAAAGCTCTCGCTACCGATTCGGCGTCTTTGCGCTGCAAGGGATAGGCTTCAACGAACTTTGTTAGGTCGCATTGTAGAGTTAGTATGTACCTATGATTGTAATCGTCAACTTGTAAAGGTCCCATTATATCTAAACTAATTCTTTCGAAAGACGAATTAGGGGTAGTCGTTAATGACATAGGTTCCTTAATGTATCTATTCGTGTATTTATTTATTTGACAAAGCTTACATTTATTGACATAATTAACGACATCCTTTGTAATGCCTGGCCAAAAATAGTATTTTTTAATATTGTTTAGCATTCTATTTATCCCAGCATGCCCACTGGTGGGTAACAAGTGGAAGTCATTTAATATAACTATCTTTTCGTCCTCATTTCTGATACGCTTAACATCTTTAGTTATCAATAATCGCGGCCGACTCAACTTTAGTTTTTTAATTGTACTTGCAAGTAACTTAATATGTCCTTCATATATTTTATTTTTGATAATAAGCAATTCTAAGATATTTAACTTACTACAAAAACTCTCTAAATCTCTCGCTAACGCTTCTACAGCTGATAGCGATCGAGCATTTAGATAAATTATTGACCGCTTTGGTACATATACACAATTTCCACTTGAGGACGTAAAAACTTCGTCGTTTCCGTCATATTTGACCGAGTGACTAAAACATAATTCGATAATATCCGGTGGTGGCTTGAGAATTTCCACGGCCAAGGGGTGATCAGTCCCATGACTATGCAAATTTTCAGGCTTACTATAATTCTCTAAGTCACAGTTTTCATTACGACTATTTTTTTTTGTTTGTGCTCTAGTAAGTACTGATACTAAGTGTTCACGCATATTTTTTAAATCATCCAATGTCACCGGGATGCGACTCAATGCGTCTGCAGCCGCGTTGTGTCGTCCTAGGACATAGCCTATCTCAAAATCATATTCCTCTAAATATAAACGAAATTTAGTTTGCCTACTGGAAGGATCTGTCATAGAAAATAAATAAATAAGAGGCTTGTGATCGGTTAGAATTTGGAATTTCCTACCATATAAATAAGGTCGAAAATGCCTCACTGCCCAAACTATGGCTAATAGCTCCAAGTCTATAATCGGATATCGCGTCTCAGCGGGCTTTAAACTTCTACTTGCGTATGCAATAACTCTATCATTCCCATTGGATAATATTGCACCTAAACCTGTTCTTGAGGCATCAGTCTGCAATTTAAAAATATTATTTTCAGAAAAATCGGGATAATCCAAAACTGGGGGTTTTATTAAAGCGGATTTTAATTTTTTGAATGCTTCGTCACAATCAGCTGTCCAATTAAATGCAACATTCTTTTTACAAAGTCTATTTAGTGGATGTGCAATTTCAGCGAAATGTAAAATAAATCGTCTATAATAGTTAGCGAAGGCCACGAATCTTCGGACCTCGTCAACGTTAGTCGGTGTCGGATAACTTTGCAAGGTTGTTATTTTGCTTGGATCAGGAAATATGCCTTTACTTGTTATTTTATGTCCTAAGTATACTATCTCTGTTCGTAAAAATTCACATTTTAAAGGGTTTAGTTTTAAATTAACTTTTCTTAAGCGTTCTAACACAGAAATTAGGTTTTTATTATGATTTTCTATACAATTTCCTATAACGATACAATCGTCTAAATAAATAAAACATTGATTATAATTCAATCCAGACATAGCTATAGTCATCAATCGAGAAAATACGCTAGGACTAGTTTTAAGTCCCATCGGACAACGCTTCATTTGGTATATTTTATCAGCTGTGAAAGCGGTGCACTTACGTGAATCGGGATGAAGGGATAATTGGTACATTCTATCTAAATGGAAAGCAGTGTATTTTCTTGAATTTTCATTTAAATTTAATTGATAATAACTTTGGGACAAATCTAATTTTGAAAAATACATAGAATGTGATAAGGAATCTAAAATATCTGTAATATTGGGAAGTGGAAATTTATCATCTTGAATTCTATTATTTAATTGCCTATAGTCAACGACAAACCTATACTTCTTTTCATTATTTTTGTCGGTCTTTTTCGGAACAAGCAAGACGGGACTAGACCACTCCGAGGTGGATTCCTCAATAATATCGTTGTCTAACATATCCTGTATTTGTTTACGTAACTCTGGTTTTAAAGAGTGTGGTATTCTGTAGGGTTTTATATAAACAGGAGTCGCATTATCCTTTAAAGTAATTTTATGCTCCATTAAATTAGTGACTGACAGTTTATCACCTGGGAGATGAAACACGTCCGCGTACTTAGCGCAAATAGACTCAATGCTAAGTCGTTCATCTTTGTTTAAATAACCTAGGTTAAGAAGCTCAAATAATGTTTTTACACGATTTACGGAAATTTCCCTTTCCGAAAAATTACAAACATCGAAATGATGCAAACTATATACTTCTAAATGAGAAAAATCATAAATTAGGTCATTTTCCGTCGTATTTAATATTCTAATCGGGATAAGCCCGTTTCTAGGCCTCGACAAAACACCTGCAATAAATACTCCCTCTCTTATTTCATTCGCAAGGACGACACAATCGTCGATTATATTCGTAGGTATGAACTTAATAGTTTCACACCTCGCAGGTATGTTGTGTTTATACCTGTTATTTATACACATACTTATCGATTTAGACGACTGAGTTAGGCTTAAAATGCCTTTACCATAATCAATTAACGCTAAATATTGTTTTAAAAAGTTATCACCTATTATTCCATCTGCAGAGCATGACAGGTTCTTAAATACGTAAAATTTATGTCTAAAAGTCATACTGTTACTACTTAATTCTAAATAAATGTAACCTTCTGATATTAACCTACCGCTAACACCTCTAATAGTTAATCTTTCGGGAACAATTTATTTTTCAAATCACTAAATACCTTAGCTAAATATTCATACTTAATTACACATAAACTGGCACCAGTGTCTATTAATAAATGTATTATCCTATCTCCTAAACTAAAAGCTACCGTACTCGAAGTATTATAATTGAGAACTACATGCTCTGTTTTCGTTTGAGGAACGAAAAAACTGACTCTCACTCATGGTTGAGGTTGGAGCTCGAGGCTGCCTTACCTCAGTGTCGCAGTACGTATGGTGGACACGGGAATAGCCTCGTGTACGGGGCTGATACTGCGCGCCTGGCGTTGACCAGCGCGAGCCCGGGGAGGGTGCACCTCGACCTCGAGCGGAACCACGTTGCGGCGCAAACGTGCGCGGCGCGCTCACATTATGCGACTGGATCGGGTTACCGTATTGAGCACGCGAGTTACTATAATAATTATTGCCAATATTTCTACCGCGGAACCCTTTATTAATAAAATGAAATGTTTTCGTGGACTTAGGGTGGTGACGAAAATTCATAACTTGTTCCCCACTGGTAGAAAGCGTCTGCTCGTCTATAGCACTACGGATTGCCTCAGGAAGAGAAAGAAATTCCTTTGATGCAATAATAATACTCAATCTAGAGTTTGCCAAACCATCGGCAAAGCGTTTTATAGCGATCTTTTCATTAATTGGTCGCAATACGTCATATTTTGAACTATCGCCATCGGCCTGTGCTAATGTCAAATTAGAGAAGATATCTTCTAGTTCATTACCGAATGCTTCTATTGACCTATTTCCCTGTTTTACATTTTGTAACCGAGACTGAAGAGCGACTGCCGATTTTTTTTGTACTAAATAATTTTTCATGTCACTGAGCAATGAATCAACTGTAGTATAGCTACCGCGTAAGCGAAGTTTCGCGCTAGGAGATAATCTTGTTTTTAATACAAAATCTATAAGTGAATTTTTCGATGTCTCATCAAGTTTAGAACTATACATTTCTATACCGTCGATTAATTGTTTGGTGACATGTTCCTGACCAGTCATTATGGGAAGTAAACTAATAGCCGTTTTAAAGTCAAAGGACATTGTATCTGCCATTTTTACAGTTTTAGAACTATCGGGATCTCTGGTTGCAAAAGTAACTAATTTATTTATTTCACTATAAATTAAATGAATATTATTTACTACAGAATTAACTTTAATAAGATCTTCGGCACTTATCTCAGAATTATTAATATTAGCTTTAATTTCACACAAAATAAACTCTAGTTGCAAATAAATGACATTGGCTTCTTTTAATTTAGTTTGACCGATTTCTTTCTTTCTACGTTCAGGGCCTATTTTACTTAAATATACTTTTATTTCCTGTAACTTACTATATAATTCAACTAATTTATGAGACATAACTATCTATTACTTCTAATTTAATAAAATAACTCATTATTGATTTCTAGAAATAGCAGCTAAATTGTACCTACATATATTTTCTTCCAATTCACTTGCTGACGTCACGAGCTGCGGCGGGCGGCGTTCTTGTGGCGGTCACGTTCTGCTGACATCAAACAACGTGGCCCGTGCTGCTGTTCCTGTTGACGGCCGGGACGGGGACTTCTTAGTTTGATGGTCTTGCTTGCATTTCTAAGGTGCTGTGGTTGAGCTCCCTTCTCAACGAAAGAATAGCATTTCTTCGGCACTTCTTGTACAATAGGTATGCGGCAGCGACGAACAGAATGACGAATAGCGTGATGAGCAGGATCTCGGTAAGGTTCAACTTGGTCTCCGTTACTTGAGCGCTTCCACCGGCGTTTTGAGCGATGATAATTTCTTCTTTGGACTGTGAGCTGCGGCACATTGTTATTGGTAATTGGCGATGATGGTGATCTCTAATGATAAATGTTGCAAAGGTAAACCACATATAACAGTACGGCCAAAAATATAATAGTAACTGCTGCGATTGCCCCAAAAATAAGATTCTTCATAATAATTTTCAATCTTCAAACTTCTTCTTACTTGACGTACAGTTCAGTTTCGATATCTTCTTTCTTCAATTTATTTCTATAATTTTTCTTCCAAATTTCGCAGGGTCGCCATGTGGTATGTTGGGTGATGGCGGCAGGTTATAATAAATACAAAGACGTAGATAGGTTGGTGTCCATTTATTGAAGAAGGCTTAATGGTACAACACATACTTATTTATAATATTAGTGCACTACGTAGTTACACACACACACACTTATAAAATATAACACACAATAAAATTACAAAACATCAGCATTTCACGTGGCCTACTTTCGTGTCATTCAATGTTGCGTTGTATTATTAATACATATTTATTAAATTATTTTCATACTATCACAGTATATACAAACAAAGATAAATCAATTATAAAGTTGTTTGCTTGGAAAATCAGCCTGTGTTTAGCAAAAACTAAAATTAAAGTCCAACAAAGATTTGAACTGTTGATTTAACAAAGCTTTTATACATGAAGGCGTAGAAAGTATGCAAAAACTTAAGATGTTCTGTACCATTTCACTTTTGCGTAATAATGAGCTCCTGCTTCACTCATTATTAAAAACAAGCCCAGAAACTGATTGAAAGCAACTTGATGTGCTTTGATCTAACAAGATTTTTCCCAAGAATATTATGAGGAGCTGGCGAACAAAAACGGTATAATTACGCGCATCTGGTCAAAATACTTTTTACTATCTCTTACAGTCCTGACTTTTTGGGCTCGCTGAATTTGAATCTCATCTGATTCTCAATCAAAACCGCCTAAAACAGTGTTAAAGTTACTAAATTAAAAACCACACCAAAAGTTGCCTGTAGGTGTGTCATTCAGTTTTTTACTGCTCCTGTAAAATTTGATTTTATGTAATTATACCGTTTCGTTCGCCAGCTCCTCATATATAATTACAAAATAAACGTTGTTCCATCCAAATTCCAAAAACATTATTCCAAGAATTTGTTAAAAAAAATATACTTCCAATACATATTTTTGGAAAACTAACAGCTATGACTTAGGTACAAAGGCTCGTGTTTATCACATACGTATATAAAGAACGTCCATCGGCCATGCCACACGGTGAGAAAGTTTATTAAAATTGAGGATAAGATATTTTACTGAAAGAAGACATCATTTTATTTTTAATAATAAGTAGAATTGCATTCACACATTCTTTGAATATCGCCTGCCACAACCGGGAATCAAACTCCTGAAATGTGAAAAAAACACGACGTATTTTATCATAACCGTCGAAAAGGTAAACCAAAAGGATTTTTTTTCTCCTCTTTCAGTAAAATCTCGTATATTCAATATCTAATTTACTTTCTCTCCGTGTGGCATGACCATGAGACGCCCTGTATATCTGGAAAATAAACCGCTATCGTATTCTATTCAGTACGGGCTGGAAGCCAGTGTCGGGTAAACAAAAGTAAATCTACCCGTTTACCCGAATTCCATTGGCACTCGTATTCGGGCTAACGAAGAAGTGTAATCGCGGCATTAGTACCAAATTTTATAATAAACGGTTTAAGCGTGAAGGGGTAACAGACAAATAGAGGGACACACTATCGCATAATATTAGTATTGAGTACGGGTAAGAGACAATTACCTCCCCTCCGGAAGCGTACTCCATGACGAGATACAGAGTTTTCTCCGTCTCTATGACCTGGAACAGCTTCACTATGTTCGGGTGGTCGAGCATCTTCATTATCCGCACCTGCAATCAAACAATAAAATTAGTACCAATTAGTTTTAGCAAATCAAACAATAATAATATATTGTTTTAAACTTTCATGGTCACTAACAAATAAACGTTCCACTTATCATGGCGCTTGCAACAGTGCCGAAATATCGGAAACTCATAAAAAAAGATACAGTGTAACATTCCTGTTAATAGCTATAATAATATAATGTTATTGTCTGAAATAAAATTATATTATTAATAGTTAACTAAAGAATTTTTCTTCAGAAAAATGTTCATTAAGTAAATTTTAGATCTAGCAATTTAATTTTTAAATAAAAAAATATTAAACAAATAACTCCTAGGTAGATTAGTGTGGCAGCGACATCTACAACTCCCACATATAAGTAAACGTAGCGAGAGTTTACACTACTCCTCAACAGATGGCGCTACTGGTTGAACAATATTTTGTTTGATAGCCTTCAATCAATATTCTGCAGGGAGACCAGATAATATTGGAAAAAAATCCCTTTCAAATTTCTGTGTTGCAAGGACAACATAATATAAATACTCATCACTGTTACAATGATCTTAATCCAGTAAAAATAAGGAAAATCTGATTCCATTTCTCAGCAACAAAATTTAAATAATAAAAATATCTAAACAACATAGCTTTAATACCTTCTTGTTACTGGAGATTAATTATTGATACTATGCCATTCATGGGTAGATCAGGCAGGCAGAAACGGTAGCCTTTACAATAAATCAAATTGCAGTTAGATGTAGGTCTATTAAAGCATAGTTGCTTACACATTCTTATTAATTACATTATAATAACAATTTGTTGCTACGAAACAAAAAGAGATTACCTTTTTTTACTGAAGGACAATAGCACGACTGTCATTTAAACGTCGAACGATAACAAAGTAACGTCACTTTGACCGGAAGTTCACTAGCGAGTGACGTCATTTTAATATTCGCCAATCCCAGGCTTTTTCGGTCACATGATCAAAGAACAAAAAAGCATGTCAACTGAATGATTTCCTAAAGAAGTTAATATGTTTTCTCATAATATTAAAATCACTGCTACTATCTATATTAAATACAACATTTGGTACTTTATTTTTCATATTGTCAAGTAGCCCACAAACACTCTTTTTTTAATGTCCGAAAAATGCCTTACGCATCTGGAGCGAGAAGAATTATCTGGGACTCCTCCCTTACTTGACTCCCTGAACAGGCCATTAATAACCAGACACTTCCATCTGTTACTTAGCATACGAGAGCCCCCCCAATACATGTGGTTGTGGTACCTGATTTCCAACTGGCCACGCAAGGGCATCCCCCTTTTTATTTTAATTTTTTTGTGACGCAGGCAAAACCTATGTTTACAGACGACGGCGCTTTTAAGAGGAACACCGCCGCACGGACCTCACACCTGGCTCCCGCAAGCTTTACGAATCCCGCAGTGGCTGCCCACTGAGGACCCCGTAACTCTTACGGGCGCTTTACAGCATAATATCCGCTAAAAACCCCTGCGAATACCCTCTGAGCTGCTTAGTGCGAAACCGCGGGATCCCCGTTTAGGGATTCTTCCGCGTCTCCGCACCCAAGGGCATTACCCCCTAGCTGCGCCCATGTGTACCCATATCTCAAATGTTGGAGACTCTTACCTCTCGGAACAACTTCTGCAGCGAGCCCGGATTGAGCTGGGTCTTGTCGATGATCTTGATGGCCACCTCCTTGCCGGTGGGTACGTGCTTCGCCAGTTTCACCTTGGCGAAGTTGCCCTTGCCGATGGTCTTCAGTAACTTGTACTTCCCTGAAAATGTAAATGGACTAATGTTACTGATAAGTAAACATACTTATTTAGGGAAAGGCTGGTAAGTGTGTAACGAAATAGTTCATGATTATGGGTGTAAACTAACAAGGCAATGATCGTAAAAGAAAACGCTTGATATAAGATTTCACCCTAGATTAAGTCTTTTAAAAATAAGGAAGATGCGTGCGCGAGATGTCAGTTAATTGCTGTGTAAGATACACATTAAATTACTTACACAGCTTGACTTTAAAAGAAACTCAGGTTTTATCGCACCACAGAAGAGGTTAGAAGGGTCTTGTGGGCGGGGCAGGCACGCCACGGTTATGTTTGAGCAAATGCTCATAACTTGACCAAAACATGGCACTGATCGCGTCGCTGCTGCGCTACGCATGGAAAGTTTTATATATTTGTTTCTTAGGTTTTCACGCACATCGCTCATTAAATAAAACAAGTTTCAACGAGTTAGATGCACTGATTTTAATAATTTATTCACGTTCCGCAAGACCATCAGATAATATTAGTTCTTTTTGTTTGCATAATTTAACATAAGAAGGAGATAGAAAGCCTCTCTTGAGTTTGTTTCGCCGGTTCTTCTCAGAAAGGTCTCCCAATTTTAGAACCGGTGGTAGTTTAAGGTAGTTAGGGTCAAATAAATAAACTCAAAATTACAAAAAAGAATTTTAAATAAAATACTTTATTAAGTAAATTAAATAATAAATTCATACACAGACAATAAAACTTTAAAAAGCGAACAATGAAATAACCGAACGCTCAATAAAAGTCTTTCGAAGGTAGCTCGACAAATTAAATAAAAGTTTAATTCTGACGACGTAGCCTGTAAAGGCTACGAAATGTCAATAAATAAATAAAGTTTCGTGCATTAACCCGTAAAAACTAGTTTTATTTAAAATACCTAATTTAATTCTTTTTCATAATTTAGAGTTTAATTATTTGACCCTAACTACCGTGAAGGGTGCAAAGGGAGCTAAACGTCAATAAATAAATAAAATGAAACTTTATTTTATTTAATGAGTGATGTGCGTGAAAACCTAAGAAACAAATACATAAAATCTTGCTTCAGGCACATCGCTTTGTACGGACCTGTTGAACATCAAGAACGTAGGGGTGAAAACCCCCCTCTGTCAAGTAGTCTGATAGAGTAATGAGGATACAAAATCAATTAACATCAATTTCTATATATTTAGATCTATGTGTATGTTTTCTATAGATATGAGAATAAGGGCAACTGACCAATGTGCGGTTCCTCGGAGGCGCGCGAGCGGGAGACGCGCGTGCCGCCGCCCTCCGCGGAGCCCCCGCCGCCGCCGCCCATCTTGGTCGACGACGACTTCACCTGCGAATAACTCTGCAATTAGGACGTAAACACGTTAGCATGGGCGCACGGATATTGACAAATTTATACGTAAATCATTCGTAATGACGGCACGTCACTACAGTACCCTTAGCATGAACCAATATCGAATTCGTATCGTTTGCGAGTCCGAAATGTCAATGTCAAATTTTGTATGGAAGATTGCGCGAACAGCAGCGCTACAAAGTACGTAACGAGAACTAAAAATAAGTACACATTTGACAATGACATTTCGGACTCGCAAACGTTACGAATACGATATTGGTTCGTGCTAGGAGTACAGTACAGACCATGGAGGTTAGAGAGTAGGAGAACGATCGCTGTAGAAAATAGTCTCCCAGAAATATGGACAAAATAAGAGAGGCGCTGCGATCGCTAAGTTGTCTGAATAAAATCGGGCTGTTATGTGCTAATTTGAAATGGCCAATGCCGCTAAGAAAATTTGTACATTATTCAACTAACTTCATCTATTTGTACTCATAAATAGCTAACTTCTAATAGCACAGACACTATATCGACGGCAGCGCGGCTGGTGGCTGAAAATTTTTCAGGGAGAGGCGGGCGAATGCTTCACGTAGCAATCGTTCTCCTTATCTCTAACCTCCATGGTACAGACTGTAGTGACGTGCCGGCATCACGAATGATTGGACAGCCTTATCATGCTTTATAATGGTCTTAGATCTGAACCTACATCGACCTTCACCGAGGTGATAATAGAATGAAGCATATTTTATCACTAATTTAGTATATTAGAAAATATAGTAAAAATGGGTTGCCTAAAAAAATGTTGGAGAGACTATTTTTAATTAATTAAAAAATAATTGAATTTTGCAACATCAAGATAATAAGAAAATGTTGCCCTAAAAACAGTATAAAACGTTTAAAATGTGCACCCTTGGGTTGTCTTTTATTTACCTGGGTGAACTACTGGGTTGCCAGGTATAAACAAGTATGTCGATGCCAGTGACGTTCCCAACGGCTGCACATTGTATACGTTTTATACTTTAAGTCAGGACAACATTTTCGCATCATTATTATCTTGATGTACCTACATATTTTTTCTTAAATCATAAATAAATATATAATTTTTTTTTTAATAATTAAAATTGATCTGAAATTTTTAATACTTGTATTTTCTAATATACTTAAGTCATGATAAAATATGTTTCATTCAATTATCAGCTCGGTGAAGGTCGATGTAGATTCGAATCTTCTACTATAAGGTATGGAAGTGACATAATGATGTCAAGTTTACAAATAGCAAAACACGAATAACCAAGCAAAGTGCCGGCATTACAAATCAGTACAACAATGTGTACTTTTTTTATCTTCTAATTCCAGTTGCATCAGGAATAAACTCGAAAACCCATGACGTTGTAAAACCTAGCGAATCGATCAAGACAATGTAATTTTCTGCGGCTTAAGTGACGGGGTCATTCTTCAATCGATCAAAAACATAACATGCATATTTAGCATCATTCAATACGGGTTTATTTCTTACCAAACAGTCTATCAGTAACCGAAAGAGGCGTTTCATAATTTAAAAACAATGTATGGTAAGTCCCAATGCGTAAATCAAGTTTAACAGTAATTATAAATAATAAATAAAACTGTTTCGTACTCGAATCAACGTGATAAATAATCTCCAAAAACATGTTATTAAAAACGCCTTCTATAAATATAAACAAGAATCACTTGACGTCATAGCAAAACAATGATATTTAAGAGCAATTATTTTACCAAATTCTTTTAATTATATGATGTTGTGATCTCTTATAAATACTTAAAGCGTTAAATCGATTGTTCGCAATTTTTATTATTTTTATTTTCAAGATAAAACTCAAGCAATTATGGCAATAAAGTAGGGTTGTATGTAGACCAACTGTACGTCTTCGTACGTCCTTATTTAGATAGTGAAAAATTCATTGTTATATTGCCAATTTTACGTCATGTCTTATCATAAAACTTACTTAATATAGTTCTGAAACAGGCAAAGGTAACGTTACTTTATCGTTTTCCAATTCCACGTTGAAAGCAGTTTCGCAGAAAAGCTCTCTTACTTCCTAGACATCGTGATCCCATAAAAAAGTAATAACGACTTAACTGTTTAATATCTCACTCGGAAAGAATGTTCCGTTACAAAACAATAACCGATTATGCCGTAATCATATGAGACTGTCTTAAACTAAAGTAGTCCAATGACATTTTAAGCATTATTTTCAACATCTTAATGATACTGACCTGAGTAATTTACTTATTTATGATGTAAATCTGCACAGACTTGCTCTACATACTAAGTTGTCAATAATTTTGCGACCTTTTGAGAGTGTCATAGCGATAAAACTAATAATATTCACCGTCTCTACCCTAGATATTATTACACGCTAATGGCATGATAATTTTCGCACTTCAATTTGATACTAGATACACACGAACGAGGAGCTCGACGGCACAAGTGGTTAGCGCGTTCGGCTGCGATCGTTGAAGTTAAGCAACATGCGCAGTAGTCGGTTATTAGATGGGAGACCAATAATTTAATATCTCCGTGCTTCGGAAGGCCCGTTAAGCCGTTGGTCCCGGCTGTATCTGCAGTCGTTAGCACCCACCAATCCGCACTGGGCCCGCGTGGTGGGTCATGGCCCAATCTCCCTATTCCATCCAAAGCCTGTGCCATTGACATTAATAGGTTGATAATGACACACGAACAAATAAAAAAATCAGTGACTTACTGTCAAAAGCCTTATTGTAAAATCCCAGTTTTATATTTGAAGTAGTATAAAAAGACCCACAAAGTTACGTTACGTTAAATACAAATTCTCTACGATACTGATTTTATTCACCAGCCTATTAACATTTTTATTATAACCGGAGGTCCTTTATATGGGGCGAGAAGAAGCAACTTGCAGGTGAAGATGGCTAGTATGGCAAGCAACCTGCTGCACCAGTTATAAAACTGACTGACATAGCGATATCCGTAACTAAAAAGATATGGAGATGGGCTGGTCACATAGATCGCAGGAATGATGGCTGTTGGAGAAAGATCGTAACGAAGTGAAGACCCAGAACTGTTACAGGAACGTAGGCAGACTACCGACGCGATGATCAGGCGTTATCATGAAGACAGCGGGAAATCACTGGATGAGTATAGTACAAGACCGAGCTAGATAGCTCAGGAAGCCTACATTTAGCATTGGATGGCTATGGGCTGAAAGAGAATCTTCTCTTTATATATATGCCTGACAGAGCAAATACTTTTTGAAGCCATATTGTATGACACCACCACATTAAATTATACTTTTACTTATATAATTGCACTTAAAAGAAGCGGTCAGAGTCGTAACTCTCCATTTCTAGAATTTTCACTCGGTGCTCTTTAAATTTTGTGTAAGTACATATTTAGTTTGTTGCCCCAAGAACTTTACTATAAATATTGTCATACTTAACTAATAGAGTACTTAACCCGTTGGAATTAAGCTGGCGGTGAGCTAAAGTGACAAAGATAAGAGAATGTGGATAAGATAAAGTGATAAAACTGAGAAAACAGAGGTCCTTGCAGATTTCAAAGGTCAAAGACTTTCTCAGATTTGAAATAGTAATCCTATTAATATTGGATATGCGTAAGCATGATTATTTAGTTGTCAATGAAGCCGCAAGGGATTTTCATGGAATTCGGTTCACAGCGCTGGTAGATTTAAATCTCATTGTTTAATAAATAGGGTAAACACTGTGTATGGGTGTGAAGTACAGATTCTCAGAAAATATTACAAACTTAGAGACAAGTGTTATCTTCATCATCGATGAACTCCTTTGGTAAAGCTCAGTAATGCTGAAATGGCAGCACAATGAAAATTAACTATTGCAGGCTGGAAATGAGACAATACTTATTCTGAAAAATCACATCATACACTCAGGGGGCCTACCGCCTATCAGGATTGCTTTGGCTATTGCTATAGCTTATGATTTCATTTTGTTATTTGCTATAGCTTATGATTTTATTTTCTTACCACCGAAAGTTTTCAAATGCCTCGTGCCCTTTTTTGCTTTTGCGTTGGTAATAACAATATTAAAGGAAATGAGTGCAAGGTATAGATGGTAAGCCCCCAGGTCAGAATCCATGGAGTCACCTAGTCGAATTGTAACAGTTATCTATCTATATATATAAAACTCAAAGGTGAGTGACTGACTGACTGACATAGTGATCAACGCACAGCCCAAACCACTGGACGGATCGGGCTGAAATTTGGCATGCAGGTAGATGTTATGACGTAGGCATCCGCTAATAAAGGATTTTGATCAATTCTACTCCGAAGCGAAGCGAGGGCGGGCCACTAGTTATGAGATATGGCGTGCCAATACTACGTAACTACAAAATCAGTAAGGGATATGGAAAAATTTTTGCATAAACCTTTGTTGACAAGTACGTGCATATATCCTCCATCAAATTCTCAAACCGCAGCACATCTTAAATGTTTACACCAAAAAGCTGTACTGTAACATTATGCAATCATCCCAAGGGTTACATGAGCTCAATTACGCATGCCGCGTGCCAAATCTGGTTTACATACAAAAGCCATTTACGCTGAGCACCCAGCCGAGAACGACACGTATACTAAATAAAGCAAAGTAGTAACCTAAAACGAATTTGAAAATAATATACATAACTTCAGGGTTAGGGCAGCCTTAGAGGTGCTAAACCGAAAAATATGATTTTTATCATTCAAGTAACATAACTTTAAGTTGTGTACACATAAACACCTTATTTATTTCATTCAGATTACAGTAAAACTGCTTTGCTACTTACATTCTTTGTAACCAGAGGAATGTATGTAATTTAATCCAAAGCTTTGGGACCGTTAAGTATTACGTAAGATTTATTACAATTATTTACCCCCTCCTCCCCCTTGTTAGCAAAAGTAACCAAAGCTCTCCCCCCCCCCCCCTCCCGTGCTTACGTAAACATTGATATCTTTATGCATTTTTCC